CAGGACGGGAGTTCCTAAAGCTTCTAGCACATATTAAAATAAAGATTTAAATATTATAAAATTAAGAATTTAAAAGCGAACAATTACGAAAATCACTTCCATTAATGGTTGGGGATAAAATTGAAGATTTGGAGAAAATAGCAAAAGTTTTGGGGTTAGAATTTGACCCAGCCGATTTTGAAGAAAAAAATAATGATAGTGATTATTTTGATATTGAAAGCAAAAGTAGTAATACAGTTTTGGATGAAAAAGAAGAAGAAAATAAAATAAATGATGAAAATATTTTAAATAAAAATAATCCAAAAAAATTAAAAAATAACAAAAAATATTTAAAACAAAAAAAGAATAAAAATAAGAAAAATAAAAAATCTAATAAAAAATCATCAATTAAAAATTATGCAAAATTATATGAAAATATTAAAAATAAATCTGTTTTAGAAACAAAAATAGAAGAAGAAAATAATAATTCTGATAGTGAAAATGAATTATGTGTTGAGGAAAATGAGAATACGGATAGTGAAGAGGGAGTATGTACAAACTTTGATATTTTAATTATTTTCTATAAAATATTAGACATTTCCTCGTTGAGAATGTTAAAAATAATTTTTTTTTTATTTTGCTGAAAATATGTTAAAATTAAAATGTATTAGGCCGGCGAAGTTGGCCTCCGAGGGCTCTCAGGACCAAGTCCCACCCAATCTTTTGCTGTTTTCTGTGATGGGATAAGCCATTTACTTTAATTTAAATTAAAAAGAACTTTAATTTAAATAAATTAAAGCTTTCACAAAATTCATTGGAATCTGAAATTGAAGAAGAAAGTCAATCATCATCTAAAAGCGAAAGATCATTTTCTGTTGAAGGGGAATGTTCTACAAAGCCTTTCAATTCTGTTGTTGTTGTTGAAGATGATTTAATGATTCAAGAAAATTTAGAGAAGAAAATTCAAAATTGTAATGAAATTATTATTTTAAAAAATACAAAAGAAGAAAGTAGCAGTAGTTCTTCGTATTTTGATCAAAAATTAGAAAAAAATAATTGGAAAACAATAACTAAAAATAATGGAGAAATAACAGAACAAAAATATTTTGATAATTATGATTGGATGGTTTGGGATTATTTAAAATTTAATTTAAATAAATTTAATTTAGTTTTATGAAATTATTTCAAATAAAAACAATCAAATTAAAGAATATAAACTTGAAAATGTAATTGATGGATTAATGAAAATTATATATTTTTGGGTATATTTTTGTGTTAAATAAATAAAAAGGTGTTTAAGTTGTTTCTTACTATTCACGATATTTCTGAAATATTCCATAAAAGATATAACCTTCAAAAATTCCGAGGAATAGGGTAAGGAACGTCCCAGACCCAGCGAGTGAAGGTTCCGAACTCGAAGAACAGTTACGGGATCATACTCCGACTTTGAAATACAAAGAAAAATCTGAATTTGGATTTCAGTCCCCAAATGAATTTGGACAATTGAATTTGTTAGCCGACATATGTATATAAAAATTAGAATGGTCAAACGCCTAAATCAAAAATTTGATCAAAACCTCTATTTTTAAGCTCTTTTGCTTTTAATAGAAAAACTTCTTTATTTATTAACTAATTATTAATTCAAACTTTTTAGAATTCCAAAACAAAAATTTTAATTGGAGGTTCATATTTATTAAATACAAGAACAAAAGATTCAGATATAGACATTATAATAATTATTCCAGCTGAAGATTTTATTAATTTGGAATTAATTTATGAAAAAAAATTTTATAGTAATTTAGAAGATTGTAATATTTCCGAAAGAAATTGTAACGATAATTCTTTTTATTGTTTATTATGTCAGGTAAATTTGATCGAAAAAAAATATTTTTAAAATAAATTTTTTAGGATTATAGAACAAATTTTCTTCGAAAAATTCCTGGGAGAGTTTCAACAATAAATTTAGAGTTTTTGGGACAACAATTTGATTTAATTCTTGTTGTTCTACCTCTACAAATATTTTTAGAATTAAACGAAAATAATTTATCTGTTAAAATATTTGATGGAATAATTGCTAATTTTATTGAATTAGTTGGAGGTTATTCAACTTTTAATGAAAAATCTAAACATTTGGGGATGTTACTAGCTTTGTCTGGTTATTTTTAATTAATTTTGTGAATTTAAAATTAATTTTATTTTTAGGTTATCGGGCAAATTTACGTATTTTGGAATTAATTAATGAAAAAGACAAAAAGAACTTTCAATTAATTGTGCTTATTTTGAAAGTTTGGGCAAAAAGTTTGTCTGACTTCATTAAATAAATAATCCTAAAAAATCCTTACTGAACATTAATTACAAGGGAATTTCCTTCATCATCACAATTTATTAATTACATAAAAATAAATTCTCTTTAATAAAATAACATTTTCTAATTTAATTTAAATTTAAAATTAAATATAAATATATATTTTTAATATTAAAATTTAAACTTAAAATTGTTTTTATTTTTCAACAGATAACTTTATTTATGGCAATACTTTTGGATTTCTTAGTGGAAGTTCAATTTCCATTTTGGCATGTCGTTTTATTATGTCTAATCTAAATACAACAATTATAAATTTACTTGGAAAAATATTTGAATATTTTTCAAATAAACAAATTAATGGAAATATAAAGTATTTTTTAATTAATTTTAAATAAACTGTTAAATTAAGGGGTATAGAATCCGAATTAATAAAGCTTTCCAGTGCCTTAGGACGGGGTTAATTCTTCGGAGTTTCTGGTTGACATTGTCTAAGGAAGACCTGACGGGAGACCCTTGTTTAATGGGAGGGTTCGTTGTCAGGGTACAACTCTAATTTAAAATAACTTTTATTTAAAAATTATATTTTGTGGGAGTTTTCAAAAAAAGATGAAAAATAAAATAGGTCACTAACGGATAATAAAATTATTTATTTAAAGTTCTGTTCCAATGATTTTGGAATTAAATACTGATTATCCAAATATTAGACAATATTTGGATTGGAATATTCCAAACGAACATATAAATCGTTCAAAACAAATTCCTTCAATTTTCCATCAAAATTTAAAAGAAAATTTATATCCAATATGGCCAATTATAACACCTGGATTTCCTACACAAAATTCAAATTTTAATATGAATATTTCGACGGCCAAAATTATTCAGGAAACAATGAGAAATGGTTGGATTTTTTGTTAAATTTATTTTTGAAAAAAGATTTCTGGGGCATAAATTCTTTCCAAAAATTAAATAAAATTAATATGTATATAATTAAGGTCTATGGAAATTCAATTTAATTTTAAATAGAATAGAGGGAATTAAAAATGGAAGAATACCACCAATCCCATTACAAATATTATGGCAAAATTTATTCGAAGGAAGTCCTTTTAAAAATAAGGTATTTTAATAAATTAATTTTTGTTTTTGAGTGAATTTATAATTAATTCCGTCACAATTTTACAATCAAGTTTTGTATACAAATCAAGTTTTGTATACAAATTTTAATTGAAACTCTATAAATTAAGCGTTTCCGAATCTCATATAATATATATTTACAAAATTTAAACTTTTTACTATTGGTAGGGATATCATAGGTTTTAATTACTGTGAAATTAAAATCAACTAAATTTTGAGAATTTAAATTCATTTTTCATTTTAGTATCATAATTATTTGGCTATAATATGTACATATTCACCTAAAAGCAAATATGGCTCTTTATTTTGTGATTATGTTGGTACAAGAATTCGATTACAATTACTTTTTTCTATTGAAATTTTACAAAATATAGAATATTGCCATATAAATCCAAAAAAGCTTTTAAATAACCAAAAATGTTCGGATCAATTCAAATCTGAAAATGATGATGATTGGATTTGTAATGTTTGGATTGTTGGAATTGTGTTTAAAAATAATGATGAAAATAATTATTTAATATTTGAAAATGAAGGGAAAGAAAAACTTTTTGAATTTTCTTACAGAATAAAGTATGGAAAAAACATTATAAAATCAGAATGGGTTAATGAAATTAAACTTTTTGATTTAAATGTTATTAAGTATATTTGAAAGAAGATATTCTTAATTAAGAATTTAATTAACACATATAATTTTTATTGATAGCCCTACCCTCATTTTACTCGGCATTTTTCGTATAAAGATTTAGAAACATCTCGACAATTTTATATAATAGGGAATCTGTAACTGAAATCTGCTGCATATTATGTTAATACTAGAGACCGGACTAAGGGGGACGTACTTTATCTCGAAAAATATCTATCTCGATAACCGAGATTTTTATTAGAGATTTCGTCTCGGTCCGGTCTTTAATTAATAAACATTTCGATTTCTGTTATAATAATACATATGTACATATGTATATTTATTCTTTATATTGCTTTATTTCAATTATTCAAGTAAAATTTTAAAAATTATTAAATTTTCACTGATTCAAAAGTATTGATAATCCCTGTTCTCTGTAGAGAATATTATTAACGAATTCTGACTACATTAACATTGCAATAAAGTATGTTAGTGACTTTCAAAAAATATTCGTTACTAAAGCCGGAATTAAGCAAATGATTGAATTCCTCCACTTTCTTCTTTTAAAATATCAGTTGAATATTCTTCAGTTTCGTTGTTTTTATTTCCTTTTGATTTTATATTTGGACGGCGTAATCTATCCAACCTAAGGATTTTTATATTTTAGAATTTTAATTTAATTTTTTAAAGTTGTAAATTAGTAATTTGAGCCCGGATTTTTGTGCATTAAAAATGCAGAATATGCACTATAATAAGAATAAAAAAATGCTAAAATATGCACGAAAATATGCAAGGTGTTATTTCATCAAAAACATCAAAATATGCATTAAACTATGCATTATTCAACAAGATCCGAAATGTACAAAAACATTGGGATTTTTAAATAAATTGTAAGAGAAATCTTATTTTATTAATCCATAGTCTATTTTAATTAATTAAAAATAGCCAAAAAATATTTTTTAATTACCATCCAATTAATCTTTTTCTTCTTCCCTTTTTTCTTAAATTATTATTATCTTGACTGTCTTCTTTAAAATTTTTATTTTTTAATTTTGTTGATGTAGTAGATGTGCCTGATTTTATAAAATATTCATAAGGTTGTTGATTCCTTTTCCGTCTTTGAATTTCTCCACTTATTTTACAAAGAATACAAGCTAAAGTAGCAGCCAAAACCAATAAAAACAATAAAAAGATAAGTGAAAACATAATTGGATGATATAATTGTCCTGTAGAATCAGCCAAATTACTTGACAAAGTTTCTACATTGTGAATTATTTTTGTAAGGTCTTCACCGGCCTAAAATATTTTTAAAAAATTTTTCAATAAGAGAGGTATTTTTATCTCAATATATTTTTGTTAAGAATCCTAAAAATTATTAAATTAAAAAAAGAAACATCGGTGAATGTTCGATTTAGCCTTTCATTAACAGTGCCAGTTATTGCTTCTAGCTGCACTCTAATCTGAAAAATAATATTTTAACGGAACTGATGAAAAACTTTAAAATCTAAAATTTTATTAATTAACTATAAATATATTTATTTAAACAAAACTGTTCTAAGCAAGTCAACTGTTTCAATCATAGCCTCTTCAACATTTAAATTAAGCTCAATAACAGGACGAGCTCTTTGAATTGGTAATGATGACATTTTTATAGAAATTTTTATAATAAAATTTAATTTTTAAAAATTAATTTAAACGCAAATAGTTGTGTTCTAAAAACTTTATTTTTTATTTTTATTAAATTTTAAAGAATATTTGAACTGAATTACTTAAAAGAATTACAAATTACCAATAAAATAATTTAATAAATTATTTCTAAAGTCAGTTGGTATAAAATTAATAAAATTGTTAATTTTTATTAGACAGTTGTTTCTTAAAGAAATAAAAGTTCAGATATGTAAGTGTGCAAAAAATATTTAAAAGATTCTTTACATTTTAAAGGATGCAAAGAATATATTAAATTTTTTGAAATTCAAAAAATACATTTTTAGAATAAATATTTTAAATTTTATATATTGAAGAATATTTTATTTTTAATTATTCATTTATTGAATTTTGATGGAATTTTTCCAAATTTTTTAAGTAAATAGAAGAAAATTAAATTTAATCATTTAATAAGTGTTTAAAGTCCTAATAATTATTTTTAGTGTCACTATGTAATTAAAATAAACCCTAAAATTTTATGTGTACTAGATATCTCACTTAAACTACCAAAGTTGAGAAATTTAAATTTTAAGGTGTCAGAATAAATTTTTTGTTTTCGTGATCTATTACAGTCGAATTATCGAACCTTGACTTAATTTCAACAATAAACCTCACTATAAGAAAATGTAAAAGTAAAAATATTATTGTTTTTAATTTAAGCTAACAAAATGTGAGAATCTGTGTGGTAATGTATTTATAGGAGGATATTTATCAGGTAAAAGAAAAGGCTGGTTGGTTGATTCTTAGCTAAGTAAAAGAACATTGATCCAAGCAACTTAAATATATATTTTTATATCGATTTATCAACTAAAAAATTGCAAAATTATATTTTGGTATTAAAGTATAATCAATTTAAAATTTAAATTTGAGTCTTTTAATTATTATTTTTTACTACAGATTATTAAATTTATGAAAATTCGGTTCTCTATAGTAGTAGATAAAGTTTTAAAAAGTTTTAAGGATTTTTAAAAGCAAATCTCTATTGATATCAATTTATAGTTCGAGAATAAGAAAAAGGTTGGCAGATCCAAAAAAGTCTGGATATTTAACTTTTCTGTACGAATATCCTAATATTTCCCAGGATTTTCCAGTTCTGTTTGAAATACGAGAAAATTGAAATTCAGCAATATTAACTTCACAAAACGTCTATTATTAATTGGATGTAACTTATCAGTTATCTACTATAGAGAAGATATTTTTATATTTTTTTATATTCTATTAATCTCCATTTCCCAGAGCAGTTTCTTCTTCTTCCTCCTCTGCCATTTTTCTAGTTAATTCAGTATTTATAACTTCATTATTTCGTACACGTTTTTGTTCTTCGGACATTTCCTCCCATTTATTTGCATTACATCTTTAAAAATAAATTTTTTCTTGAAATTTTTATTTTTCAAACCTTGAACGTTCCCTAAGTTTTTCTGCTTCGGGAATAACATCCGCCAACAATTCATAACAAGGAATACAAATACCTCTCATAAAGCCAACCTTTAAAATTAAAAAAAATATTTTGTCTTATAATTCTTCTAAACAAATTTGCTAAAATATTAACTAATATTTTGCATTTATGTCCAACTAGTTAGTTATTTAATTTACATTAGAAAATTTTTAGAAGGTAACTTCATACAAGGAAAATTTTTTTTAAATATATTTGAAATTTTCCTTATATTTGCAATAAAGTCTAAGTTTAGATAAATTAAATGTTCTAAATATTTTTAAAAATTGTAGTAAAATAATTATAATTCTTAAATTCCATCTCAGTTACACTTGCCCCTATCTTTATGTCGATGACTGTATATTTACCTGCATTTGAGGTAATTCATGAGCACGCATTCTGTCCATCATTGCAATAGGTTCTCGCCCATTCATTCTTTCAGCATCTCCCTTTAAATTTAAAAGAATATTTCTTTCAATTTATTTTTTCCTTTAACCTGCTCATAAAATTCTTCAAAAATAACTTTTACAGTTTCAGTCTGAACTTGCCAAGGTTTTGCTGTGGCAATTAAATCGCAAGCAGTCATTAGAATTGCTTGGACCAAATTACTTAAATTGGATAAAAATAAAGCAAATTTATTTAAAAATGCCTCTTTACCGATGTTTTGTGTCATCCCAACTAAATATTCCTTCTTTAATTATAGCACTCAATTGGGCTTTATTTGGAAAGAAAAGTGCCAAATCAGTTGCCAAAATACAATGACGAATTGTGCTCAATATTTTTTTATAATCGGAAGAATTTAAAGATTTGAGTACGTTGTGGCCATCCTTTTTAATTATTAAAATTGTTTTAATTTTATTAAATATCCGAAAAATAATTAAAATTGGACATAAAGTTAATTATTTTAAATAGTTCAAGACTTAGCCCCGAAACCGAAAACCCACAAAAAAGTCTCGAGTCAAGTTCAAGAGTTTTGGACGTTTCTAACTATTCCTCGTTCCATTAACTTATAACGAGAGAGTATTCAATTAATAAATTTAAAAAAAATTATCTAAAAATATTTTTCTTATTACATTAATACCTGTTGTAAAATAGTCACAGTCTGATTACTAAAAATTAAAAAAAATGATTTTTTTAAAAAGTATTCAATAAATACAAGTGGTGATGTTCCATTACTGATGTTGAGTAAATATTTGCCAAAGGGGTACTCATATTTTTCTTAAATTAAAAAATAGATTTTAAAAAATATTTGTGTATTAATCTTCTTACTAAAATAAATTAGTAGACTAATCAAATTCTAATATAAGAAACTATAAGACTTAAAATTTAAAGGAGAAATGTCGCTAAAGGAATATAGAAATCAAAAAAATTTTTAATTTATTTAGAAAAATAGTTTTTGATATTAACTAAAGATTTTTGGCAAATTCAAAAAATTTTGATTAAATTTACTATATAATTTTATTTAGTTTTTAAAGACCCCCAATGTTAAATTTATTTTACCATATATTGGTTATTTTTTCCTCTGTGATCCAAGTCATGACATATTGAGGCCATAAACAGAGCAATAGCCTAAATTAATTAAATAATTTTTTTAAAAATTATTTAACTTCTAAAGGTTGGAAAATGGATGTTTGTCGAAGAAATACAAACATTCTGAAAGAAAAAAATATTTGAAAAATATTCATATTTAATGGGTTGTCAGATAAATAATGAGCCCTTTGCGCATAAATTATACAATTTACTATAACTGAATAATGAAATGAAATCAAAAAACAATTTAATGTCCATTATTATCTATCACTTCTTGCCTATTGCTTGGCAGTTTTTGAATTCCCATTTGAGAAAATTAAATGGCAGATTTGGTATTAAGAAAGTTGGCAACCCAATTTTAGAGTTGAGCATTGTTTTGGCCCCTCACCTCCCGCAAATGATTTTTCATCTAACGAAATAACTGCTAGTCAGACGGCGCAATATCCGTAGAATAAGGAGGATCAACTAAAAGTTCCCATCCGAGTGTCTCCGTGATGTAGGCTCGAGTTGCGTTCGCGCGACGCAAGGGTGCGGCTACCTGTTGAAAGACAACTTTATCATAACGAACGCGAAACCATCGATGGCAATCTAAACTATGTCCAATATTGTTTTTTAGAGTTCGCCCGGCAATCCATTGCCCTTAGGAGTTAATTCCCAGTGTAAAATCCCAAATTTAGCCCAAATTTGGGGATTTTGGCTTCTAGACCCATATCTCCATCATGGAATTTTTTGTAACATCGCTTAATTGATGCAAAAGATGCCCAACTTGTGCCCTTCAAGGCGGCATTTTCTTTTTTGGATTGAGTTGTACCTAGACCGCACTAGACCGCATTTGAAGCAAAACAAAATTACAGCCCGAATTTCAGATTTTGAGGACATAATTTTAAAAAATTTTTAAAAAACTGCAAAAATAAAAATTTATTTTTTAAATGGTTCTGGCTAGTAGAAAAAAGCTGGAACTATCGACTCTAGTAAATTTAAAATAATTCTAACTAAAATACTAAAACCTTTACATAAAAAAAGACTAAAAATGCGCAAAGGGCTCATTATTTATCTGACAACCCATTATTTATTACGCGTGTGCAACAGTCCATCCATGTGTCCAATTGTGGTAAGGAACTTTTCGATAATTTTTACGAACAGTTAAAACAAAACGAATTAAATCATCACAATCATATGAGCTTTAAAAATTAATTAATTTAAAAAAATTTAGGTATATTTAAAAAACATTTGCCCATCAAAAAGTTTTTTAAACATATAAACAGCATATAAAGGTTTTTCTAATTCTGAGAGACGATTTCCATTAAATTCAAAACTAAAAGAAAATTAAATTAATTAATTAGTTATTGCTAACTTTAATTAAAATTTGTTTTCTTTTTATTCTTAAATTTATTTCAAAAAAATATTTAAGTCCTTTCTCAAAGTTTCAAAAATTTTTGTTTAAAGTTATGATTGCCGATTAGAACCGAAGAACAAAGGATGCTTCATTTCGTTTTCTTCAGTTCAGTCCCGGATTTACTTTATTTACCAAACTCAAGTCTCATTAATTTTTGTGACTAAACTCTAATAATTTTCACTAAATTTTTTCTGAACATGTACAAGTTATAAACATGCAAAGAACAAGTTCTCTGTACAATTCGAAAAATTTTGTGTTATCCTAATGGAGAGCTTAAATTTTGGCCTTTTTTGTTATTTAATTTTTAATAAAAAAATTTAATTTACAGATCAAGTTCTGGAATAGTTTCCTTGACTTTAACTTTCTTTAATTTGTTAACTTCATCTCTATTACAAACACTGTGATAAGCTAAAACTTCTAAAGCAACTTTGTGTTTCTTAAAATTATTTTAAATTTTTTTAATTAAAAAAAGGAGAGAGGACCTGTTCTGATCGTCTAATCTTTTCATAAAGTTTTGCGTGATGCAAAGCAAGACCGCAATAAACAGCAAAAGTTTCAAAAGCTTCTTCATCTACTTGAGTAAATACACCATTTCTTTTATTAACCATTTGAACAACTCCAATTATACTTTAAAAAGAAATTGGGGAAAATTTGTTGAAAGAAATTATTTTAAAAAATATTTAAAAGAAATTAAGATAATAATTCGTAAAAATAATTCAAAAAAAATTTTCAAAATCCACTTACTTTCCACGAATAAATATAGGCATACAAAGAATTGATTGAGTATGATAACCTTTAATAAATATTTTTAAAAATTATTTAAAATAAACTTTGCCTGTTAAAGAATCAATTTCACGATTAAAACGTTCATCAGCATAAGCATTAGTAATATTTAAACTTTCTCCAGTCAATGCTACATGTCCAGCAATTCCTTTTCCAATTGGAAAACTTTAGAAAAATAAAATTAAATCTTAAAATTTAATTATTTGTTAATTTGTATATTTGAGATGTCCAACCTTTAATTAGTTTTCCGCAACTAAAGATTAAAAATAGAAAAGACCCCGAGAAATTTTGGAGTGAAACTTAAAACTTGAAGTTCTTAACTAGGAAGGTTGGCCTTTCTCTGATATTCTAACAATGGGAAGTAATATTTTAAATTAGAATTATACACATGAATGTAATACTAAAAATTTCTGTTTTTAGAACAATAATTTGTCCGTCATGTAAATTAGATTTAGATCCCTATTTTAAATTAGATCCCTATTTTAAATTTTATAAACTTAATAAGTTTAATAAATTATTTGTTTTTAAATTCAACTATCAGTAAGAATTCCTTAATATTTTTCTTCAAAAATAAACTGACTGAATTTCTTTTTGTCCATCTTGATTGTAAACATGTGCAGGATTTAATTGAGGACTAATCTCTCCATTTCCATTTTGACTATTATTTTCATTATTTAAATTATTCTGTTCTGGTTGGCTAATATCAAAAATACGAGCATAAATCTCTTGTGTTTTATTATCAACGAGGAATAAAGAAGCCCGATCGGCATCAACAAGTTTTTGTGCAAAATTCTTTTTTTAATTTAAAAATTAAATTTAAATTACTATGATGATATAATAAATATAGGCTTACAGCATAACTCTTATTTTCAATTTATTTCTATATAATCTTTCCCCTTTAAATGTTAGAGATCCTATGTATCCTAAATTCGAGAAAAAGAGCTCAAAAATTTTCTTTTCAATCTTTTAGACAATTATCAATGTTCTATCGAAATTTATTATTTAAGAACAACGAATATTTTTTTAATGATTTAAGTATTTAATTATTTAAATTATTACCATAACTTTAAGAATAACAGTATCCATTGTGATAATGTCTTGGAAAATGGATCTAAAAGAAAAAAGTTATGATTTGTATTTTATTAAATAAATAAATTTTTAAATAATTAATTTAAGTAAAAATTACTTGACAACATCAAGAAGAAAGGAGTTTAGTTTACGTTGTCTATTTACATATTCCATATCTTCAGGTGAAGGTGATGTACCAATAATTGGGGTAGGCTGTACTGAAAGCTTTGAACTAGCTTCCTTTAAATTTTTTATTTAAACAAAAATTTTCAATTTTTACTTTAGCAAAATGAATGCCAACACCTGCCCATGTAGTCAAAACTTGTAAAAATTGTCCATCTCTATCATTAACAACAGAAAAGAAATGGATTTCACCTAAAAATAATTCAGAAAATATTTTTATTAAAATATTCACCAATAAGTGTTTCATCACAATCGAATAATTTCAAAACATGAACCTTAAAAATATTTTTTTAAAAACTAGTGGGATTTTTTTTAAAACTAGTAAAACTAGTCCACTATAATCGAATCTCTCTATTAAGGGCTTAAAACGTATCTTATAATGTGGTATCGTAATTATTGAAGTTCGCTACTGAGATAGGAGTTAGCTAAAAGGCCAGCCAAACTTAAAATTAAGATATTTAGTTTAATGAATAATTAATATAGAATACTGAGGTTTGAACATATGAATAATTAATTTACTTCAATTTTTGATCTCACCGGTGGTTTTCTCTGTTTGCGAACTTTTCGTAATTTTATTGTGCCAGCCTCATCATCCGATCGAATTACAGAAAGCCAAGTAGATGGTGATGAATTGTTGTTATTTGTTGTTGCCACATTATCAGTTATCGAATTTATTAAACCTCCAGTGTTGAATATTCCACCCCCAATAATTGAAGGGATATCTTCACTTGCTCCTGTATTTGAAGACACAGAGTTGATTGAATTTACCTCATCCTTTTTTAATAAAAAATAAAAATATGTATGTGCATATTAGGGACGGAATAATAGGGAAACGGGAGAAGTAAAAACGGAAGACAAAGGAGAAAAGTGGACGGGCCCAAAATGCCGGAAGTAGGAGGAAGATTCATTCTTCAAATAAAAATTTTAAAAATTTGCCTCATTAGCAGATGCAGGCACAACAAGTTCAAACTGTTCAACTTGTGCTACTTGTGCACAGCTCAATGCCAATTCGTAAAGTAAACGATTTCTATTTACAATATTGTCAGAAAGCATTTGTCGAAAATTTTTTCGGCCGGCGGGTGTCTAAATTTTGAAATTTTTTAGAAAATTTTTGAAAGAAAATACCGAAAACCCAGAGAGTAATTGACGACGAGAATCTCGACGTAATTTATTGTTTCTTTTGAGTGTCCATCGTTGGAAAGTTTCTGCAGAAATTTGAGGCCCCGTTACAAAAGATTCTAAAAAGCCTGGATGTGTATGTAAATAATCGAGAACAACATCTGCATTTCTTTAAAAGGAAATTTTCTTTTAAATTTTTTGAAAGGGAAAACAAACAATTCATTATGTTGTGCTTTATATTGAGAAGCAGAAAGTGTTTGAATTGGTGAGGACATCCTCGGAACCGAAATTGGACACCCTATTTTGCTTGCCAAAAGCGAGCAATTGTCGCTAAAAATTAAATAATTTTTTAAAATTTAAATTTTAAAAAATAATCAACAATAAATTTTAAAGAGAATATAAAAATTTCCGTATTTCCTAACTTTCACGGAGGATACCTAACTAACACTTATAATAAAATTTTTAAATTTAACAACTTCCTAATTTTTCTCTCCTTTTAAATAAAAATGGATATAGGTATATTTAAATAAATATTTATTTTTATTTAAATATTACATAGTTCAACACACTTAAAGAGATTGAAAATATTTTCAAACAAAAAATATTTTTTAAAAAATATATTTAACGTCATTCATTTTCTTAATATTTTTCATTAATTGTCGGTTTAAAAAATTTTTTTTATCCGTCCATTAACAAAAATTAAAAATGTTCCCAAAATAAAAAAATATTATATAGTAATAAATATATGTACGTAAAATATAAAAATAGATAAAAAGCTATTCGATTTAAGAAAATCCTCTTGAGAAAGGATTAACAGTAATGTAAAAAGGATTTTTTATTTTTTAAATAAACAGTTATTTTTTAAATAACAGTTATTTTTAAATAAACAGAGCTCTAATAATTTAAATAATTAAAAGGGAGCTATAGCTAGGGTGGTCAGAACCGGAACCGAAATTTTTATTAAGTTAGTGAGGATTGTCTAGTGACAAAGAGGGTCCCGGGAATAATTTTTGGAGAGGCAACTTCAGAAAACAGTTATAAAAAATGTATGAAAGAAGGGAATTTGAGTAGAACATTAATTATGTTAGGAGTTAAGACAAAGACTCGTTAGATTTAAATATCTATTTATTTTCCCGGTTTTTAACTTATATTTAGTCCATCCCAGTTGAAAACTTCAGTTTTATCTCATAATCAGCAAGAATATTTGTCAAGATAATTTTGGAAGTAACGTCACTTAAGGTAGTGTAAAGAAGAATTTTTAGCAAAATAATAGCCCAGATTAGTCACATCATTTAAGACTCTTTTCCATAAATAAAATTTTTAAAATAAATTAGAAATTTACGTAAAATAAATATGAAAATAACTTTAAAACTTTAAATGTTCCTACATATAAACATTTAAACGAAAAGAAAAAAGAGATAAAGAAAACGAGAGAGAAAAAGAAAGAAAATATAAAAGAAAATATTGTTTAGAAAGCAATGCATTCGTTGAGAGTTTTTTATTATTTTATTTATTTAATTTAACTCGTTTGCTTCCTATCAAATATTTTTACTTAACATTTAAATTATCAAAAATTATTGGAACTGCGATTGTTACGAAATGGCTAATAGCCCTGCCTATGATGAGATTGCGACTAGGGCGGTCTTAAAATTTTTGACGAATTCAGTCGTAACTGAGGCGGCTTTTTTATTGGTAAATGTGTTTTTATGTTTAGGCGATATTTGGGCGACAAAGGACTGATTATAGTGAGATTATGGCAAAAATTCGAGATTTTTGAGATATCCCGTATGACTTAGACGGTTTTAATTTTATGTTTAGTCATTTGGTTAAAACATGTTGGGATAATATTACCCTCACTCAAATTCGAATAAATGCCTAAAAATAATTACCAAAAACTCATAAAATATTGGACAAAAACTTGTATAAAAATAAATACCTAGCGTACTTATTCACGAAAATAAGGTATATACCGTATTTATTCTAATTGAATGGCCCCTCCATTTGAATGGCCCCTCCAATTGAATGACACATTTCTGAATGAATGAAAAATAGAATGGCCACCTCCATTTGAATGGCCCCCCAATTGAATGGCCCTTTTTAACTTGAAACTACCTAACTTGTATTTCTTTAATCCCTTTATTAACTAATTTAATATTCCTTTTCTGTACGGATAATTGTGATATTTTTGAGAAGGTTTAGGTCAAAAAAAGGATTAAAAGGGATATCGTGGATTTGGGAGGATCAAGAGAGATATCAATCGATCAAAAGGATTTGGAGGAACCATCTGAAGATTAAAATAATTAGGGGAAGATATTCAGGGATTCTTTAACAAGAGGGTTAAGAGGGTTTTTGGATTCGGACTGATATCGAGATTTGGAGGATATCGGGGATTTGTAGGATAACGTGGATACTAGTTCTATTTTTGAAATATGGATGATTTTAATATTTTTGAAAAAGAAATGGATGTTTTCAAATAACATAATATCCCACTAAATTATTAAAATTCATTATATCCTCCTTAATCACTTGATATCCTCCAACTTATCCCTCCAAATCCCAATAAATTCTCTGTTTCTTAAAATCTCCCTGATATTAATTTAAACCTACAAATTCAAGAATACCTTCAAAATCCATCTAAATACTTTTGATCTTCCTATATCTTGCCCAAATTACTTAATACCATAACCTATTAAAACTAACTGTACAGTAAATTTTTATTTTTTAACTTCGATGTTAATTAAAATTCGACTTTGTTAGCAGCGCAGACATAAAACTTCTGCGTTTTATAGTGTAACGTGGAGAAAAATATACTAAACAAATTCAAAATATCGAATTTTAACAAAAAAATTCGGTAAAATTTCGAGTTCGGAAAATATTAGGTAGGATATTCGTCTCATTCAATCTCTATTTTAATCTATGAAAAATAGAATGGCCACCTCCATTTGAATGGCCCCTCCAATTGAATGACAATTTTTTGGGGCATTGAAAAATAGAATGGCGGCCATTCTATTAGAATAAATACGGTAAATTCTAAAATAAATTGAAAAAGACTTAAAAATGCTTGGTCGGGACTTTTCTAAGATGGATTTTGTAGGAAATTTCATTCTCCACATTTAATACATATAATTTAAAATATTTTAAATAAACTTACATTTTTTAATTGATGGAGGAAGTAAAAATACTTTTTAAAAAACAATATTTTGAAATATGTAAATTTTGCTTCTAAATTAAAAAAAATATATTTTCAATAAATTTATAAGACCTTTAATTTATATGAAAAGGATCTTCTTCAATTTTTTGTCACCAAGGAAACAAGGAAAATAAATAATTTAATATTTTTATATTTTTTAACAAATTATAGTAAATATTTAATTTATTTTGGTGAAATTTTAGGCTTTACAGCAAATATTCTCCATCCAAACATTTTGACGTAAATTGTAAAAATTAGAGTTGGGCAAAACGATACTGGTATCGGCCAACCCGAGACCGAGATTGACCGATACTCAAGAACCCGATACCGAGACCGATACCAACATTTTGAGCCGAGACCGATACCGAGAAACGATACTGACCGAGACTAACAGAAAATTTTATTTTACGTCAAAAAATACGTGTAAAAATAATTTATTTATTATTTTCATCATCCAAATCATCAGAGAAATACTCTTTATCATCTGGATCCGATTCGATTGATGGCTAACATCTTTTTTATAAAAAATACAATAGTAAGATTCATAGGTAAAAGGATTATAGTCTACTTATACAATTATAGTAACCCAGTATTGTAGTATTTAGGCCTTTAATTTTATTAAATTACTGGGACTCAGTTGAGCTAGATAAAAGGGCAACTCAGTCGTGCGAACTCAATCGTGAAATGCTCAGTGAAAGCTCGGATTTTGTAAGGCAAATAAAGAAAGATCCACTCTTTTCAGCGCCGCAGGCGAAAATTTTTTGAAATTCAGAAGGCCAAAGGTCAAAAATCCTCAGTTTTATTAAAAATACAAGAAAATTGGGGTCTTTGAGTCAGTATCGTTTCTCGCCGAGAAATGGACCGAGAATATCGGTATCGGTTTCGAGACCGAGAATGAAAAAACCGAGACCGATATTGAAAAAAAGCCGAGAATCTCGGTATCGGTCTCGGTATCGGTCTCGGCTTGTCCAACTCTAGTAAAAATCTATCGAAAATTTGCCAGAAATTTCTAAAATAGTCGTTGCCAGTTGTGACGAACTTCAATTAAATTTCCTTTAATTTTGAAAAAACTACTTTTATGGGTCTTCTTTCTTTGAGGGCTTAATTATTTTTTAAGAAATAACACAGTATTTTTATTTTAGTTCACCCATCTCATAATAATTTCAGATTTTTTCCGTCAATTTCTGACCACGTATTTTAATTTTTTAGCATAGTTTTGGATTTATCCTCACCTAAAATTTGAATTCATATTTAAAAAATTTTCCAATTAACATCTATAAATTGGCAATCAATAAGAGAATATCGTCAACCAACAGAAGCAACCATTAAAGGAATAAATAAAAATCTAAATTTAGTAATTAATTTTTGTTGGCAAAAATACTCTTTTTAATTTTTTATTTGTTTAAATAAAAATCTTCTTTTTTGAATTAGATCTTTACTCTTTTTTTATTAAGCATGACCAAAATTTATTAAATAAAAATTATTTCTTATCACATGAGGCTTTATTTTTAAATTTAAATTTTATAATTATTTAAGGATAGTTTATTTAACAGTGATCTATAGAGAGAAAAGATAAATCAACATGTGAAGAGCACCAGCAGAGGTGTAAGTGAAGGCAAGCGCGTGTTCAATCCATGACCGATGGCTTAACTTTTCTTTAACTCTTTTTATTTTAAAATAAAAGTTTATTTTTATAGCTGGCTTTATTTGGTAATTATTTTGGATATTAAAACCTTAATAATTTTGAATAAACTCTCATAAATCCATTCCTGATACTTACATACATATGTATATTCATACAAAAATTAATTTAATTTTCTCCATCCAAAAGTATTAAAAATTAATAAAGTTGAACCCGGTTTATAGTTAAAGCTGAAAAATTCTAATTAAGGTATATTAAATATTTTTAGGCAGCTCACCCCCCCCCCCACACACTCCCTACCAACCCATTTGTCAATAAATTTCAAAAACGTATTTTAAATTAAAGCAAATCTAGTAAATATTGAATTTGCCTATTTATAAGTGATGTGTATAATAATTCAATATTAAATTTTGTTTTCAAAATAAATTATTCAATTATCCCGAAAATCAAATTTAATAATTTTATAAAATGGATTTATGTTATAATTTGCATTTTTAAAATATTTAAATGAATGTATTATTAAATTAAATTTTTTAAATAAATTTAGAAAATAAACATTTTAATAAAAATATTTAATTTTAAATGTCTTTGAATTTGCTTTATTGCAATTTATTTATTGTAATACTCTTTTTCAACATTGTAAAGAGTGATACCGATACTAATCCAGGTATGTATTAAATTCTAAATTAATATGTATTTACATATTAATTTTGATTTACCTTTACCTAACCCACTAAGATCAACCCTTTATAAAAGATCAACCAAAAGATCAACCAATATCCCTGCAAACGATCGTTGTGGGGAAGATTTCTTTATTAAATTAAATATTTTATTAAATAATTTATTTAAAGATATTGATCGATTTGTTGAGATTGCAAACGATCGTTTAACTTTATCGGATTATGTTGCTTTATATAAAGTTGTTAATAACAAAACTATTACTGATCCTAAACGAGAAGAAAAACTTTTGGACGATATGAGAAGTAAGGGAAAGAGTCTATCGTTAGCTGAGGATTATGTTACTTTAATATTCCAAGACCAAATGAATGCTAGCAAACATTTTCAGGTAAAGAAAATTTAAAATTAGGGAAAGAAATAACAATATAAATTAATTATATGTAATTTTTATTTAACAAGTTTTCTGGTTAAGTTGCTTTTAGAAAAAAACAATATCTAAAACTTTAATGGTTTATTTTAAAAAATTTCGAAAATGGAGCCTTGACGCAAATCCGCAACAATCAAAGTAATTAAGTAATAATTCTGCTATTGTAGAATAAATATATGTATATTAGGAAGGAAACTTCAAATTTTTAAATTTAATTATTATTTTTCAGAATTATTTGGTTAATTTATGGAATCAATATGGCATACCACCTATTAAAGTTCGAGATTTAGAAACAGACTTACGCCCAGCAATTGATCAAATAAATAATGAAATGCTGCAATTGCTAGTTAAAATACAACAACTTCCCTCTGCTGATTGTTTAAAAGAAGTAGATAAGTCTTTAAAGAATTTTATTATGCGAGTTAATGACATTGATGAACAAATTGATGCTTTGAAAATGGCTGTGAAAGGCGAAGACCTCTGCCCTGCATGTAAAAATAATTAACGTTTAGTTAATTATAAAGGGAAAATAAAAACTATAATTTTGGAAAAAAATTTGGGTTTCAACAAAATTTGGGAAAATAAAAATATAATCATTTGGATTTAACTAATTCTTTTTGGTGATTAAATTAATTTTTGGGTGATTAAAAGAAATTATAGGGTAACACAAAAGTAAATGACCGACGATTATTTTGTATACATTTTAAGATAGAATTAAATAGTGAAAAAGATTTATAGAGGTTTTTAGAATTCACGACAATGGTATCGAAGGAGACTAAATTATTTCTGGGTTTTCGCTATTACCTAAGCATGATTGAAAGATGGCATTAAATTTTTATAATATTAAGGAGAAATCAAAAAAATATTGAGAATGAGAAAAATAAGATTTAACAAGTGGTCAGAAACTTTTGCGTCACCCTATGGTTAAAACGCTACCAATGATTTTTTGCAATTTTTAATTAATTTTATTTCCAAGCTATTTAATAATACTCTTAAATATTAATTTAACATACATATTAATTTAATGAAATTATAATTTTGAAACAATTGTATTTTAACAAAATTCGGGATAAAAATAATCATTTGAACTTTAATTCGTTTTTTCTTCAATTTTATTAAAAATAAATTATATTTTAAATTTATTTTCCCTGTCTAGTCTAAAAAGATTGATTCAGACTAGGCTATTCATGACCGGTTAATTTTTACCTTTGGCGGCACAAAAGTCAAACATCAACCGGTTGTGACAAGCCATAATTCAGACAAAAGAATTTTTTGTTTCATAAGACAGAAATCCCATAACTCCTTTTACATACTGATATTTTGCAACAAAGGTAAATGTAAAAAACAAGCTTAGATTCATGCTAAAATCAAGATAAAATCCAAAATCAATTAACTTTATTTGCCTAAACAATTAGTATACTTTCAAAAGAAACGTTTTTCATTTCACTCCCATCAGTCAACCCTCCCCTCTCCGCAAACAAAAATTAAACAAAACTTGAAACAATTTAGATTTTAATCTTTTTTATTTGTAAAATTGTGGAGAAAATTTAAAAAGTCAAAAAAATAATTTTCTTAAAAAATAACAAAATAATTTTTATTTATTCCTCAATATTATTATCCCCATAAAAATTCATCAATTCCTTAGTTATTGTCAATCTTTTCATTCTTTCACATAAAATCGAAATATCCTCAGTGCATGGAACGACGGCAAACCTCACCCGTTTTTTCCTTAAAAATTATTTTAAAATTAATATTTAATTTATTAGAAAAAATAAATAACGAGCCAAATTAGGGAAAGGAAATGTTTTGATGTTAAAAGGAGATTACTTAAAGTAGGGGAGAGGTAGTAGGGGAACATTAAGTTTTGAAAGTCTCGGACTATCTTGACGAAACTTCGTTTTTAACTCCAAAAAAGCTCGGCCTTTCTCTTCATTCTCAGATACTAACTTATTCTATTTACAAAGGAGAGTGTTTTGGGTGTCCGTGGGACTTCGGGATGAAATTTGGTATATAGTAGAGCTGTCCGAGACTTTGGTCTTGGTCTTGGAACCAAGACTTTTCTTGGTTTTTTTTCGGTCTTGGTCTTGGGGTGTTTGTCTTGATCTTGTCTTGGTTTTATTTTTTGGTCTTGGTTTTTTGGCCTCTTTGGATCTAGTGCTTGGCCTTCCAAAATCCTGAAAATTTCCGCCTGCGGCGCTGAAAAGGTGAATTTTTTTGGCCTACCGCCTTCTAAAATTCACAAAATTTTCGCCTGCGGCGCTAGAAAAGGAAGAATTCTGGCTTCTTGGCCTTCCAACATTTTCGAAACTTTCGCCTGCTAATATCCCCCTTAACTATAATCCCATTAATACACCCAAATCCTCTGAAATAATATACATAACTCATTGATTTTCCACCCGGATAAATTCCTCAAAATTCTTTGAATTTCGGATAAATTCTTTGAATTTCGCATAGATTTTTCGAAATTATAGGTGATTGTGCTGAAGTTGACTGTGATCGTGTCAAAATAACAAAAAATAAACCAAAAATTTGACCTATGGGACCTAAAAATTGTCTCGAGTTTTGTATTATTTTTGGTCTTGAGTCTTGGAGTTTTGGTCTTGGTCTTGAGTCTTGATCTTGGAAAAAATTTTGTCTTGGGTCTTGAGTCTTGGAAAAATTTCGGTCTCGGACAGCTCTAGTATATAGATAGATCATACCCTATTTCTCCCAAAACACTCTCCTTTGTTAATCATGCAAAGCTTTGAGTATTTCAACAAAATTCGCCAATCCTTTGAAAATGTCGGGACACTTTCTACTATTTGGATAAGAAAAAGTATTTTTAACTTTAAATATTTTTTCCTCCTTCCTCTTTCCCTAATAGGCCCATCATTTGCTTACAAATTAACTTTTCTTGAGAATGCTGCCGAATTTGAGTAAGTCCCCAACCAATCCGAATTTGAAAATATATTATTATTATTAATTTTGTTGCCAAAATTGTTATTGGAGTCTTTAAAGATTTTTGGTTCATTTTTTGTTTCAATATTAACTGGGCATCTATGTATTCGATTCCTTTAAAAATAAAATTTATTTTAAATCCCCCTCCCCTCCACACCTTTTTTCAATATCACTATCAATTTGATTCAAAGCAAAACTATTTTTTAAAGTCTTCATTGGGGCAACCCTCCAACCATTATACCCATCCAAGAAAACGCGAACTCGAGAACCCAGTTTCTCAGCCAATTCTAAAGAATTTTTACATTCAAGTTTCTCCATATAATAAGAATAATTGTGACACCAGTCTTTGCTTGAAAAATAAAAAAAAAATAAATTTTTGATAGCTTTTAGTAATGCTGTGCTTATATAAAAGTCGCTATGCGTTTTGCGACAGAAAATAGCATTCAAAATAAGGAGAGACAAAATCGAGCACGATTTCCCCCCTCTTCTCCATTATCTTTTCTGTCGCAAGACGATCGCAATTTTTATTTAAGCAGGCACTGATCGATTTTCGATAAGTACCTTTTAAAAAATTCATTCCCGGCTTTTAAATTTTAATTATAAACTTACTCGAATTGTTTGATTGCTTCAGAAAGCAGCCAACCTTTTTTGGACCCGCCCTGTAAAATTAATAAAAATTAAATAAAAAAATTATTAAAATTCACATTTTTGTAGTCATCACTTGAAGCACTAATTGTTGAAATAAATTTTGAAGAAAATTCTTTGAGGATTTTATCTTTGTTTAAGTCATTTTCGTTATTTGAAGTAGTAAATTGGTTACTCATTTTAATTAATTTTTAAAATAATTTTGTAAATTTTGTCTATAAATAAATAATTTTTATTTTAAATTTAATATAAAATAAAAAATTAAAAAACGATTAAAAATTTCTAAAAAATTATGTATTTAATGACAAAAAAGTTAAAAATTATTGAATTTCTTTGGAAATTGGCATAATGTTTTTAAAAATTTAAATTTATTATTTTTTTATTCCTTTCAGTGCCGAGTAGGTATCGACGCAAGATAGTATCCTGCGTAGGATCTTCGGGTTCCTGTGTTCGCAATCCTGCACTTTTTTGATTTGCTTATTTATACCCCGGGATCCCGCTGGGTCGAGTGATAGATTTGAGGATTCTCAACAAAATTATGAAGCTGAATCCTCGCTTGAAAAACTTTGTGTCGCTGCAAGTTATTAAAACTGACGGTCAACCAAGATTTTTTGAAAAATCCAGCTTGCATCAATGAAATACTTATTTTCGTTTAATTTTATTTTAAATTTATACACATTCAAACAAAATTTCCAATTTAATTAAATACACTCAGTTTATTTGAAATTGCCACTTTTTTCAATTTAAAAATTTAAAAAAATGTAAAAATTCAACACATTTTTAATTATTATTTTGCTTTTCGTTATTTATCTTTTTTATTAATTATATTATTCTTTCCCATCTTTAAATTTCCATTAGACATAATTGGATCTACAATTATCCTCTTTTTGTAATTTTTGTCTTTAGGTGAAATGTAAGCATTATAGAAGAATTGTCCAAATAAATATAAATAAGATAAATACATTAAAGCACCCAATGTGAGGACATTCCAACTAAAAATAAATTTAATTTTTCTTAAATTATTTTTTTTCTACCTAGCATCACAACGTATATTATTAGCTGATTTAATTTTCAGTAATTGAACAAAAATATAGCAAGAAATAACAAATTGCAATATTTGTATGCTTGTAATAAACTTTGCAAAAAGTCGGGGTGTTTTTACTTTTAAGGCTTGAAGGCCAAAATAACTTTGAAAAAAAATTTTTTTATAAATTATTTATTAAAAGAAACTCACAAATACATAACTGTATGCACTGTTAAATTTAATGCCAAACTCCAACGGCACCAAGCCTGTCTTTCAGCATAAGTAATTGTTGCGTAAATAAAAGTAAGTGCATGGTGATACCAATGGAGGAAAATTACTGGCCTTTTACGTAGGATCTTTAAAAAAATATTTTTTTGGAATTTAAAAAAATTTAAATAAACCAACCAAGAAAAGTGTATCACCCAATTCAGGTGCTTTACTCATTACAAACATCCATCCCCAAAATCCAGTAATTGGATCAGTATAATAATTAGCATTATCACAATAAGAACCTTTTAATTAACAATTAATCTTTTATTATAAATTAATGAATTTGCCCCTTAAATTACCCCCTATATAGCGACACCCTTATATGACATATATTGATGAGCTTATATTCGTATGATCAACATTAATATTATTAGTTCAAAGCTAGATTCAAGCCTAGACAGTGTCTGGCGTGAGAATAAATCCCGTACGGGATTTTAGTGGATGCTACATACGTGAGATATTAAAAAAGTTTTTGGGATTATTCCCACGAAAACAAAATAATTCTTATAAATTCCCACCAATAAATCCTCGACGTTCAATAACATGTAATAATTCAGGCAGTAAACACCAAGCAGCATAACCACTAAAAAAAGAAAATCCAAAATTCCAAAGGGCTAAAACAACATTCATCGTTCCATTATCAACAGCTCTCCTCGTAGCCATCCATTTTTGACCAAAATAAACAATACATAAATATACAAGAGTTAATTTGTAGGCAAAAGGTACCCAAATGTTTCTAAATATTTTAAGAAATATTTTTTAAATACATATTAAAATTTCTATAGGAAATATTTGGGCGTTAAAATAGGAAAATAATAACAATGAAAATTTGAATAGTAGATCTTCGTTAGTTCAGAGATGTCCTTAATATTTTTTAAATTATTCTCAAAAGTTCCGCCCAAATATGCCCTTCCCAATAAAATATTCTCTCACTGCATAAATTTTGTAGTCCTCTCCAAGTCCCATGCAGGGGAAAAAAGTACTTCAGCAATTTTAATATCAGTATGGTTGTTTTTAACATCAATCAACGTTTGATGCATTAAAGAATCCATAAAAATACAAAGAAATATTTGTAATTATTAAAATGTTAATTAGTAATTTCAAATAGGGACTTTTAATTATTTAAAAAAACCCTTAATAATTTTTTAAAATTAATTTAAGTGTAATTAGACAGAAAAAATAAATAAATGTAATTATAAATGTTGCCTTTTTTAATTAGAAAATATTTTTTAAAAATTAAGGTGATAATAAAATCGAACGATCTAAACTCATAAAAAATCAATAAATTATTCAAATGATTGACGGAAAGGAGCAAAAATCCTTCAAAGACTCCTAGTACTAAAACTAATTATTAAACAATTAAATGTTTAAAAGCCCCAAAATTGTTCCTCGTAGTAAAAATAAATATTTAAAATTCCTAAATAAAAATGAAAGTTTTTTAAATTTTTAATGTTAGAAAATTCCCCCTTCTCATTTTCTTGCAAATATCAGACCATCAATCGACTTTAATTTAAAAGAAACAATATTAATTTCACGTGCTCCTTTCAAATAAAAAGGGAAAGAAAAATGGAAATCTCTCGTTAATTAATTTGAATTTTTGATTTATATGTAAAAGGACGTTAGGAAAATTTGAAAAAATATTTTTTTTTCTATAATTAGTAATTTCAAGTAAATTACCAAGTTTGCACATTTTTAATAATCAATCAACTTCTTAAATTAACAAAACCATTTAAATTCTAATTTTTTAATCCTAAAATTTTTCAAAAAATAACCAAAATCAAAAACAATTTAAATTAAAATTTTTTATTTTCTGTCCCAGATTCTATATTATTTGGCAAATCTGGAAGCACATCTTCAGGCAAATCGACAACTTGTTTATTTCCAAATTTTGGTGGTCCAATTAACCTTTTTACTTAAATTAAAAAATTAATTACAAAAAAATATTCTTTAATATAAAATTACCATCTTCATAATTTAAAGTTTCACGTTCTAAAAGAGCCTTTGCTATCTGAAGAAAAAATATTTAATACAAGTTTAAAAAACTAAAATTTTCATACCACTTCTAATTTGTCTTTGTTTTCTCTTAAAAGATTTTCTGTTGAGTAATAAGCATCTGCAACTAATTTACCAATCTCCTAAAAAGAAATTTGTTATTTTCATAATATATATGGAATTTTGGAGAGTTTTATTAAATATTTCGAAAAATTATTCAAAAATTTTTTAAAGGAATTTTAATTTCATTCAATTAAATTTCAATTTTTAACAACCTGATCAATCATATTTCCCAATTTTTTACTATAAGGCTTTTCAGTAAAGTCAGCACTTCGAAGGTCAGCATCTGCACCAGGAAAGAAACTTATCGGGCCAATTAATTCACTCATTCCATACCATTTAACCATTGCTTGAGCCTTAAAAATAAATTAAAATTTAAAAAACAACCAAAAATTTTCTTTACTTGTTTGGTAACTTTTTCCAAATCGTTTTGTGCTCCAGTTGTTATTTTACCAAAAATGACATTCTCCGCTACCCTACCACCAAGCATCATACACATTCGATCAAATAACTGTAAAATATTAAATAAAATTTAATAATTATCATCTAAAAAACCTCTTCTTTCGTAAACAATTTTCGATCCTTTGGAGAATATTGAGCAAACCCCAGAGCTGCACTTGTTCTCGGAATTATTGTTACCTTAAAAATTTATGTAAAACAAATCTAATAAAAATATTCTGTTTACTCTTAAAAGTGCTTCAGTGTGTTCCAAAAGCCAACCAACCAAAGCATGTCCTGATTCGTGAAATGCAACAATTTCGCGTTCTTCTTTAATTAAAACTCGACTTCGTTTTTCTGGTCCTATAAAAATTTTTTTATTAAATATTTAATTTTTTCAAATACCTGCAACAATTTTTTGTAAAGCAAAATCAATGTCAGCAATTTTTACCATTTTCTTTTGTGCCGTCGCTGCATGAATTGCTGCCTCATTTACAACATTTTTAATGTCAGCACCTACAAAAATCTATTTAAAATTTAAAAATTATTGTAATATATACCACTAAAGCCAGGTGTCATTTGTGCTAAACGTTGGCTTACACCAGTTAATAAATTTTCTTTTTTAATTTTTTGTAAATATAAATCGAATAATTCCTTCCGTTCAAGTAATGTTGGTAAATCAATGGTTATGTGTCTGTCAAATCTGCCTGGGCGAAGAAGTGCCTGAAATTTTAAGCAATAAATTTCCAAAATAAGTAAAATCCTTCAAAAAGGAAGTCGATGTATGGTTTTGGCGCCTCGATTCATAAAAAACTGGGGAATGAGTCTTCCCCCAAAGTCCTGATTCTAGTCTATTTCCTAGTTTAAGAAAAAATTATACCTTATCCAACATATCCACTCTATTTGTACTTCCAACAACTACAACACCTTTATTTGAATCCATTCCATCCATTTCAACAAGTAATTGATTTAATGTTTGTTCCATTTCATCATTACCAGAACTTCTAAAAAAATTATTAAAAATTATAAAATGTAAGGAAACAAACTGGTTCTGACGTTTCCTTCCGAGTGCATCAATTTCATCGATATAACTTAAAATAAAAAATAGTTTAAAATAAATATTAATAAATATTTAATTTTCTTTATAATTTCAAAATGCCCAAAACTTTATTAACCCAAATTATAAAATATCTCACATTATACAAGGTGCACTTGATTTTGCCTTTTTAAAAAGTTGTCTGACTCGTGAAGCGCCTAATCCACCAATCATTTCTACAAATTCTGTTCCATTTACACTAAAAAATAATTTTTAATAAAATAATATCTCAAAAAAATACTTGATAAAAGGAACACTAGATTCTGCAGCTAATGCTTTTGCAAGTAAAGTTTTTCCACATCCAGGCGGTCCAGTAAGTAAAGCGCCTAAAAATAAAATTATTTTTAAAAAATTTTAAAAAACCTTTAGGTAATCTCGCCCCAAGTTGAACATATTTTTGTGGTTTACGAAGATAATCAACAATTTCCATAACTTCACGCTTTGCCTCATGTAGACCAGCAACATCTCGGAATTTAATTTTGAGGTTTTTCTTCCCTTCTTTAGATGTCGGGTCGACAATTCGGATACGTTGACCAATTGAGAACTTTTAAAATTTTTTTATTAAATTGAAGCTTTAGATGAATAATTTAAAAAGAGGTCCGAACAAAGGAATTTTCTAACAATAAGAGGGATGAATAAAAAATTTTAATAATAGGAAAAACGAAATATTTTTCCATTTTATATTCCCAATCTCATTTATTTTAAATCCTTACCATCTCTTTTATGTCAAGCTTCCTTGATAAGCGAAATGTAAGGAAAAGTGGAACACTGATCATAATACCAAACAAAATGATAGGTATTCTAAAAATTAAAAGAAGTCTTGAAAATTAAAAGAAATTCCCCAATATAAAATAATTGAAAGATGAAATAAAAAGAAATATCCACGGAACACCTAGGTAAAAACCAAAGGTTTGTCGCACCTCAAATTCCAACCCCTCCTTCTAAAATATTTTTTGGATACACTGTTGTGCTCACCAATCTTTAAACTAGAATATTAAACTTAAATAATATAAAATATTCCTTAATCAACTCATTCCTTAAAGGTAAAAAATCAAAAAAAACTATTTAAAAATTAAAAAAAAATACTTACAAATAAGAAAAACCATTAGGCTTATAAAAAGAAATATCCACCCAACGTTCAGGAGGTATATTTAACTCAATTTCTCTATTTCTCAACTGTTCGGTAAATTTGCGTAGATCGGGAACATGAAGAACGCCAACTTGGGTATTCTGAATCTTAAAATAAATATCCCGCTAACACCTCTATTTGGGTGTCAGATTAATTTTCCTTTTTTTAGTGTCATTCACTTTTTTCTTCACACACAGGCAAGTGTGAGGAATGAAAAAATAGAAGGCAACGGCAAAAATTAACATTTATAATTAAGAAATTTACCATTTCGAGGCAGGAAAAATAAAATGGGAAATTAATCTGATACTCAAATAGGGTGGGAGGGGTATTAATAAAATACTGGTATTCTTTAAAAAAATAATTTTTCTAAAAATAAACAAACATGAGTTTCAGAGAAAGAAACTGGATAAACAAATGCTCTTCCAATTTCAGGTTTTGATTGTTTATTTGATTTTGAATAATACTTTGGCACTAGAAGAATGTTAGACACCTTTAAATTTTTAAATAAACAATGGAAACCATTTATAGGGCGTATCTGTGGGTCGGTTTCAGGGGGGCTAACATTGGGTGTGCGCCAAAATTTTGGCGTTTACCTCGGCGTTCCGGGCGCAAATTTTTTTTAATTATATTTTTAATTTTTAAAGCGCCGCAGGGAAAAATTTTTTGAATTTAGGAGGTGTGGGCGAAACTTTTTTCCTAATTTTTCCCCCATTTCGGGGGGGGGGGGGGCTCTAATCCCTGGATACGCCCTTGCCCTCTATACAAATTTTAATAAAAATAATTAAAAAAACATACCTGACCAGAACTTAATCTTCTCATAAATTGATCCATATCCATTAAATATGAATTTGTTGTGTGGTTCAAAAAATTTTTAATTTTGCTTAAAATATATAATTTGACCAGAATTAGAAAAAAAGTAATTACTTTAAAACATAAATAATAAGAAGGATAAAAGCAGAAAATTGAATAAATGGCACAAATTTAAATTGATCAAATAGCTGAAAAATAAATTTAAAAAAATTTTTATTTGAAAAAAGTATTAATGGAGACAACTTAATCCGAAACAAGAGCACAAAAGAGCGCCCCCACGTCCCGAACTAAAATGAGGAAAAAGGTTGGGGTGAAAAAATTTTTGCCTAAAAATGTTCCTAATATTGAAGAGATCGGACCGAGAACTCGTAAAAATCTTGGTTATCGAGATCGAGAATTTTTCGAGATCTCGATTCTCGTAACGGACACTCCCAAATCGATCTCTAATTTATTGTAATAAAAATAATTTTTATCGACGGATAAACCGTTGAAGAAAAAAGTTGATAAATTCCCAAATGGAAAAATTAAACTCCGGATTTTCTTTTTTTGATATTTCGACAGCAGAAAACTCTACTCGTATTCATAAATAAATTAAATTATTAATTTATTTAAATTTAAAAGATTACTTTAAAATTTATTTCAAAAAATTTAAACAAAAAACCTTATCAACATCATTCACGATTTTATTTGCCATTTCTTTTCCAACCAGCTTTTCCATTCTTTGTTTAAATTCTTTTTCAGCATCTTTCCTATTTTTATCAATTTTAGCTTTAGCCTTTTCAAAACCATTTTCTTTCCCATTTTGTTCTTTAAATTCTTCAAAAACAATTTTTCTTTTAACTAAATCATCACTAGGGAGTGGCAAAATATGCACGGAAAATCCCAAAATATGCGCATATATATGCACCGAAAAAGCCCAAAATATGCACCAAAATATGCCAAATTTTCGAAAATATGCACTAAATATGCAGCAAAAATAATGAAAATGTGCTTTAAAAATCAATATTTCAACTGAAAAATACTAATTCACCATTTAAGTTGCAATTTAATAACACTTCTAAAAGATTTATGAACTTAAAGTTGATCCGAAAAAAATATTTTTTTAATAAAATTTTTCACGAAAAATTTTTCGAAAATTTTTATCAACAAATTTTTATCAAAAAATTTTTTGCCCAAAAAATTCCAAAATTTTAAAAATTTTGCCCGATTTTTACTAAAATTTCTCAAAAAATGCCAAAATATGCACAAATTTAGGTAAAAATATGCAAAATTTCCCAAAATATGCATCGATATGCAAATATGCACGAAAGTACCGAAATATGCAAAAATATGCTACAGGAGCCAGGTCCCTAATAACCGACCGACGTAAAAACACCATTTTTGAGCGTTTCAGCTCATGGCATATCTGCATACAAAATATGCATTTGCATGTTTTGCCACTCCCTAATCATCACTTTTTACAAACCTTTATTTTGATTTTCATTTATTTCATTTGCAGACCTATTCGAAGGTTCATAGCTTCTAACAGGCCTAGAAGATTTTGGATGAGGCACTCTTCGAGCTATTTAAAAGTAATTTTGAAAATTAAATTTAAAAGATACCATAAAGGAAATAATTATCCAAAAAACATTTATCACACAATTTATTTGTAATAATTGATAGATTTGAAGTCAAATTATTAGGAGAATATTTCTTAAAAAAATTTTTTTATTTTTTAAAATTTTTTTTGTTTAAAATTAGTCAAAAAATTTATTTAAATAAAAAAAACCTTGTAAAGAGGTAAAATAAGTCGTTCATTATAACCACAAAATTTGAAAAATAAAGAAGTAAATCGGAAGATTTTTGTTTGTTGACAATAACATTTGAGAAAATTAGATGAAGCAATTAACTTTAACATTGAAATTAAATCTAAAATTAATTGAAATTTTTGTTGGAAGAGAATTTATCCCCCTAGAAATTCGAACAAATTTTTGATAAAAAATTATGGAAGAAGGGGTAGGTCCACTTCGGCGCAACAGTTATGGCGCAAGCAACTATTGTAGAATTTTATTTTCTTTGTTTTAGTATTTTAAAATTATTTAGATAAACTGAACAATTAAATATAAGCTAATCGTTAACTATATTTTTATTTAAATTTTAAATAAAAAGTTATTTAAATTACATAGTAGGCAAAATTTCAAAAATTTGCTTTTAGTTCGACATAAAAATTTACAGTACAATTAACTAAATACCGTATTTCTTCTAATAGTGCGACCGGTCGGTTTATTTTTCATCCATCCTCTAGGGTGTCGGTTTATTAGAAGGAGTCGTTCTAATAGAGGGAGTCGCACTATTAGAAGAAATACGGTAAATCAAACTTCAATTCTGAATATTTTTAGTAAATTCTCAAGTAACCAAACGTCTATAAGGATTTGAAGGGATTTTCCTCTCTTCTGAAGGTGGTGCTCGTCCAGGAGGTGTTGCTGGTCGGTGAATTGCCAAATCTGTTTAGTTTTATAGAATAAATTTATGAAAAATTCTACCTGCTCCAAAATCTACATTTGGCGGTCCAGCCTTGAAAGGTTGCATTTGTGCACCTGAATTTTCATTTCCTGGAGGTTTTTGCCCTTCATAAAGAGGCGAAAGAGGAGGCGCTTTTTCATATGTTGGGGCGGGTGGGAGAGCATTTTCATATGAGGGGGAAGGTGTTGATTGTTTTGGTGGTTGTGGAGGTGCTTCGTATTGAGGCGGAGAAAGTTTTGGTTGGCTCACCTCATAAGCCTTTTGCACTCCAGCAGATGGACGAGTAGCTGAAGGTCCATGAGTGCGAGGAGGGCATGGACAATACTTAGATTATTATAAAATATTTAATAATTATTTAAATACCTGAGCATCCTCTCCTGGTTCTCCTGTTGCTCCTTGTTGGCCAGGTTGCCCATCTGCCCCTGGGGCACCAATTGATCCAGGAGGACCACTTTCTCCAGGTGGACCTTAACGGGGAATATATAAATATCCAAAACGAATCCTCTTTCGCGTACCATCATTTCCACGTTGTCCATCTGTTCCTGGGTAGCCATCCGGTCCTTTCGGACCACTTGGGCCAAGTTCACCTTTAGGTCCTGGAGGCCCCTTTTGCCCTCTGATGCCATCACGACCTGGCGGCCCAACATCGCCCAATTTTCCAGGTTTGCCTGCCTCACCTTAATTTTACGAAAAATTAGTAATCATCAAAATAAGTTATTTAGCTACTCACCAGGAATTCCTGGATTTCCAGGATAACCAGCCCTTCCATCTTCACCCTTTCGGCCAGGTGGTCCAGGTAGTCCATCAGTTCCTGGTACCCCTGTCTCACCAGGTAATCCTTGAGGAACATAATACATATTCATTGAATTGATCTTAATTCAAACTTACCAGGAGGCCCAGTTGGTCCATGAGGACAGACCCTACATCCAGCGCTCTTAAATTAATTATATATCAGTTGTATATAACAATCTAAAAACTAACAGTATCAATAGTTACTGGAGGAGCTACTCCAGGCAATCCTGGTGCTCCAGGTTGGCCTCTAGCTCCTGGAAATCCATCTTCGCCTGGCTTTCCAGCTGGACCAGGAGGTCCTGGCGGACATAAATTAAGTGCATTACAAACTATTTAGAATTTTCTAAAAGTTTTGTTCAAGTAAAAGTACCACATGTTGGTCCCTGAACATAAGCATCTTGTTTGGCATAAGTGTTATGTAATGGATATGCTTTAGGTAATTCTCCTCCTCCACCTTGTTCATATGCTTGTCGACGTTCTCTAAACAGTAAATGTGCAGAAGGTAAAGCTGCCTTTACATTTTGTAATTTATTCCATCCAGAATCAGCCAAAACACGAAATTCTTCAGAATCAATTCTTAATTGCTCATTAATTTGGACAATTTTTGAAATTAATATTGGCATATAGAGGCAAAGTGTTGCTATAGAACATATAGAACTAATTATTGCCAAAATTCCAGCATTATTTGCAGATATTAATTGTTGGAATTTCATTGAAATTTTGAATAAAATTCTTTTTAAGAAACAGAATGTTTTTTTGAAATAATTCTGATCTCTCTACAATTATTTAATTACTAAATCAAACTGAAACCTTTGGACCTTTGTTGGGCTTGTTAGAAGAGTACAAAAACAATTTTTAAATTATTTTTATTACGAATTAAGCGATTTTCAATAATTTTCATTTAAATAATTAAAGTATATTAAAAAATTATTTTTATTTATTTGTTATACATACTTTCAAATCAAAAAATATTAACTAAATTTAAGACATAGTATTCATATAAAATATATATTAATTATTAAAATAATATTGCACAAATAGTACTAGATAAATAATTTTTTCCTCCAATGTTAGCTATAAAAAATCTTTTTAAAAATCATCCTCATTTTCACACAATAAAACCGGCTTAATCTTTTTTGTTTTCAAGGTGTGACGGACGGACACTAAAGAAATTAAGTGAATAAAAAAGAAGAGACACTTACACATATACACAAAAATATCTTAATTGGCACTTATTAAATAAATATTTAATTTAAAGAATTTAAAAAAGGAATATTTAGAGAATTAATATTTGTAAATAATACATATTAGTATGTGGAAGGAATGCAAGGATTCCTTGTCTTTTTAAGGCTTGAAAATAGAAACACTTTTTTGATTTTTTTATGATCTAAATTAATAAGAAAATTATGAATCTGTAAGGAAAATGTTGATCAAATATGTACTATAATCTATTTTTATTTAATAAAATGAAAATTATTATTGGAAAATTATTAAATATGATAAAAGATTTTTTTATTAATAATTTTAATTAAAGATTAAAAATTTATTGATAGAGTCAAGTTTTATTTCTGAGCACTCAAAATAGGAAATTTTAGTTCAAGTACCAAATGATTATTTTTATTATGCTGAATTTTTTAAAATAAAAATCTTTCATATAATTTTATCAAACTCGAATTATTGTTTTCAAGGCCTATGCAGGCTTGTTTCTAAGTCATATTCAAAATTATCTTTTTCTAATTTTATTATTTGGTATACCTATTTATTCATATATATCAACAAAAGACTGGGCCCGTGTGTTCGGGTCCGGTAGCTTTATTAATTATCCACTCTAGCAAGTGGGAATAATTAATCATGTTAATAACTTAGTAAATACTTTATTGCAGAATTGATCATATTGACTAGCTTAAGCGGCCAATAAAAAATTAAACTTCAAAGCAATATTTTTCATTTCTATCGAAGAGTTTTAATGCTCTGAATAATTAGCTATAAAAAATATTATTTGAATTCCAGAATTATACTTCTATTTACGCTAGTTTTTGTAAGATTTTAAAAGACTTTTATTTAATTTAGTAAATTTTTGCCAAAAATTTAAAAACTAAATTTAGATTTTTATTTATTCTTTTTTTAAATAAATACATCTTTTGATTGTTAAATTATTATATCATCATATCTATTTGATATAAATAAAAGCTCGTTATTATTATGTCCACCAAGAGTGTTTTTTGCTTTATATTTTAAATAAGATAATTAATTAATTAATTAATTAGGTAACTAGACTACATTAAACCTATTTTTTGTATAAAATCTTCACAAAAACCCCCGACTATCCACAAAAAAAGCTTATTTAATCCGAAATATTTATTATTTAATAATATACTGGAACAAGATTTTCTAACATTTCTTGTTTTTAATTATCACAAAAAATTTTTTTTCTTTCCTATAAATGCTAACATTTATTTCGTGTTTAATTAGCAAATTATTTTATTTTATAAATTTTTATTTTATCCAAAACAAAAATGTTTCTTGGCCAAATTTATTCTCTCATCCTTTAATAACTTTGAAAATTCTGAGATAAAGACATTAGCGTGTAAACAAAACACTAAACAAATATAATAATCTAAAGCTTTTTAGTTCAAAATTAAATTTATAATTAAAAAATCTCTTTAATATTTTTGAAAACTTCCTGGTGACAAAATATCAGAAAAACCAGCTGAATTAGAAAGGAATTCAAGTTAAAAAGGAATTAATTTTTAAATTAAATTTAAAATTATTTTTATGAAAATGAAAATTTTAATATTTTATTTATCCATTCTTTTGGTAATCTTTGCGGATCAGACATTAGGAGATATACCAATAGTACATTGGGAATGGCGTGATCTCGTTTGCAAAACAGGAGATAAAGGTATAGGTTTTTATATATTTGTAGATTTTTTACTGTTTTGTTATAAAAGTTCCCTATGGATATGTAATTGGTTAAGGGTGTAATCTTAATTTCATTTTACTTTCCGTGATGAAAGTCTTTATTTTGATGGAAAATTATATAATTTTTTTCTTTATTTCTTTTGTGAGGAATGAAATGTGTTGTAACAAAATTTTTCTCTCCTATTAAAAATGAAGGACTAAAAAATGTCAATATAAACACTTTAGGAGACAAAAAATTTAAAATTAAATTATCTTTTAATTATTTAAGAACTCCCTGGTGATAAAATATCAGAAAAGCCAGCTGAATGCACTATTGGATTAAGAGAAAAGGAAAGAGACACAAACCGTCGTTTAGCTCCAAAAGGCGCTGGATGTTTTGATGTAAAATGAATAAAATATTTTATTTTTATTCCAAAAAATTAAAGGAAATAGTTAATGGGACAACAAGAACTTATTGCGATGTTTTATGTCCTAATGCGGATACTGTTTATTTAATAAAAAGAGATCCTCAAGTACATCGTTTTTGTTTTGTATTTTACACTCACAAATTGGAACGTCGCGGCAATAATTGGTTCTTATGGCGTCAAGACAAGTTTGTGTTCTTTTTAATTTAATTATTAAGCCTAATGTTAAAAGTAAGATTAGAAAAAATAAGTAATACGCCCAATTTGGGCCTTCAGGTTCAGTGAGTTGAAAATAAAGTCTGATGAGGAAATATTAATAGAAATTACGCTGCCCATAAATGAATGAAGGCTTGAAGAAATTTATTATTTAAAAACAATATGGGGAGATAAATTTAAAAAACTTTAAAATAGGAGATTTAAGGAACAAAGGACTGCCTAATTAATTAGAAGGGAAAAGGGTAAAAGTATTAAAAATATAATTAGTTCCTTTCCTTTCTGCAATTATTTTAATAAATTTAATTTTAGATGCCGCAATTCACAAATTACATTCACAATTCGTTGTGAATTTTTATTTAGCCGTAATGAAACTCCGTCAGATATTGAATTATTTAATTCTCTTGTTAGACGAAATTAATTTAGAAGAAATTGAAAGGATTTAATATTTAGTAGTTAAATGAATATTCAAATCTTTAAATTATTTGTAGAAAAAAACAATAAATTATTTTAAACTCTTTTTCAACTTTTCTAATTAATGTTTACTGAAATAAAGCAATATAAGCTTTCTTTTTGAATACCCTCTAAAGAGTTGTGATCTAGATTGGAGCTTTATTTTATCTTTAGCCTCATTTAATTTAAAATCAAAACTCCAAATTCCTCTTCCAAATAAAATCTTTTTATAAATTCCCCTCAAAAATTAATTAAAATATATATTGAAACAATTTAAGTAGGATTTGTAAGAAGACATTCTAAATCGGTAACAATAAGAGGGGGAGTTCCAACAACCCATTGTCCCTGTGCATTACATGTACCAGGGAATGTTGTACTTAAAGAACCAACAGTTAAGAAATTAACTGAATTAGCTACAATTGCTGCATTTAATTGTAATGTTGGGTCTGGTTCTCTTAAATAAATTAATTATAAAAATTATTTTAATTAAAAAAAAACTAACGAGCAATTCATCACAACATTAGTTGGACAATTAATATTATCATAAGTAAAAGTCAAAATTCCATCAGCAAATTGGGTACTATTTGAAATTGTTTGGGAAAGAAGTGGACAACAAGCTTATATTTTAAATAATTTTAAATTGAAATTTAAATACTTGTTGGTTGTCCACCAGGAACTGTAGACACACACGCCCTTCCTGGAAGGAATGAAGACGAAAGAAATAAAATAAACAAAATTACTGCAGCTAAGATTGTGCTCTAAAATATTTTAAATTCTAATCTAAAAGTACTTTTAGAGTGGGGCTGAAAAATTAGACCTATGATATGTTGTAAATAAGGGATATATTTATGAATCCCTCCCTCCCTAAGTGACTAACGAGATTAAAAATTTGGTGTCCTACGTATGATTCATATTTTTAGATACCACTGGAATAAATTACTCTTCATTTTGAGATAATTTGGGAAGTATAGAAGAATGAAGCACGACTATATAGGTATTTAATTGTGTTAAGTTACCTGTATGCCTAACATTTCCTTAAATCTAAATCTTGGAGTTTCTGATAATAACATAATAATATAAATTATTGCTGTTCAAACGTTAAAAATCTTCTAACTATCAAAACTTTAAAATAACATAAGAATTAATTATTAATGATTTTTAGTTTAAAAAATCAAAAAGAATATTTTACTTATGTATTTGCTTGAAAAAGATTTACTAAGGAACGTTGAGGTTATTTTATAAAAAAAACTATATACAAAAAAACTTAAAATGTCTTCGTAATACTTTCCGTAAGCACTTTCAATCTCGGTTTCCTTCTTTGAAAAAGTAAAAATATAAGAGAATTTATGCAGATAGTTTATATTTTTTGTAAATTCTCCTTCAGGATTACGGAAGAATAATTAGTCTTCCTTCCCCTTACTCAACGTCAATTAATATGTATGTACTCTCATTTTCAGTTTTTAAAATGACGGTTTCTCGAAAATTTTCGAAGAGTAAAAAACATTAGCTATAGAAAATCTTTAATTAACTAGTGATATTTTATATTATTAGAAAGCAAGAATGTAATTAAAATCTTAGTCCAGATTAGAATATGGATAAACAAAACCTTAATTTTCAAATTTTTGAGAAAAAACAAGATAAAATCAAAGAAATAAACTAACACCTAATATACTTAATATTGCCAAAATTTCAAAAAAATTTTTAAAACCTTAACTAAAAAATCAAGGCAGTTTTGTTTTTCAACACAAATTAAGAATAAAATCTTTTATAAAAAATAACAAAATAAATTAACAAAAAATTAAGAATTTCAATAATAAATTAAAAAACAATTAATTCTTGAAATTTTTAGAATGTTTATTTTCCACACTTTTAATTTTATTTAATGATAAGATATTTAATAATTTTCCAATCGGTTCTTCATACTCCTCATAATTCTCTAAATTTCTATCAACAAATACTAATTGTTCTCTTATTTCCCAGCCTTTTTTTCTTAAAAATCTTTTTGTATATTTACGTAAAACTTTCTTCTTAACGATAAATTTATCAATCTTTTTTAGAATAAATGCAATTAGTTCAAGGCGTACTAAAAATTATAAATTAGTAAAATAATAAATAGAGAGATTGTATGTAACTTTTAGGGACATTCTTGGCTAAAGTTACAGTAAGAAGTTTTGGAAAAATTCGTTAGGTTCTGAATCCTTATCTAACCCACTTACAAGGGAGCGAGGTCGATAGCTTATTCCCATGTGGCTTTTTTTGCCCTGACCCCCATTTCGAAAAGTTATAGAGCCTCAAAGTTTTCGACTCTTGGAGCGGTTGAATCGCCCTCACTTTTTTTATTATTTCTCTTCCTGAAGAGAAAAATGAGAGTCAATGATCAGTCAGTTCTTTGATCACAAATAAATAAACATTTTTAGTGTTTTTTTTGTTTTTATCCATCAAGGTTAAATTTAGTTAAATTTAAATATTTTCATACCACAAATCAGGTCCTGTTCAAGAGGCAACATTTTAAATAGTCCAAGTCTACGTCCAATAAATTGTAAATATCTGGCACACCTCAGAAATTTTTTGATTGGAACTCTAAAGAGTTTATTTTCTTCATCAAATCTATAAAAAAATCATCGAAAGATAATCTATTAATTTTTAAAATAAATTTACTTTTCTTTAATTTGTTCTCCATCAATATTTCGAATTTTATCAATTTGTTGTTTTTCCAAAAAATCTTTTAAAATTAAAATAAATTCAGATAATTGTTGTGGAGATTCAAAATCTTTATTTCCTTTGCCTTTAGTTTTATAAATTTTTGCTTTTGAAAGAAGACATGTATCCTCAAGTATTACTTCTCTTAATATTTCTCTTATAGTTTCGGCTTGAGTACGTTCTTTTACAGCACGAAATTCGTTTCTAAGTTTTTCCCTTTTTAATAAAAAAATTAAGAAAATTTATTAATTGAAGAGAGGTAGAGGAGGCTAATAGGAGTAACTTCCCCCTGGAAAATAAAATTTGATTTGTTCCTAAAAATTGGAGAGATATAAAAATAATTTTAAAATAACTAAATAAACATTAATTTAAGTAGTTGAACAAAAAATTTGAAATTAAATTTACCATTTTTCTTTAATTTGAGAAGGCGATCTAGAAGGCAAATTTATTTCTTTATCATCCCAATTAACATTTTCATCAAGATTTGCATATTTTGGGATAATTGCGACCAAAACTGGATTTCGAGTTAAATGATCAGCCAAATAATCTGTTTAAAAGGAAATTAAATTTTTTAACAAATCAAAGAATTTATTTTAATTCCAAAATACTTTAAAAATTGACAATAAAAATTTTTTAATGAATTAAAGAATTTATTTTAAATTCCAAAATAGACTTTAAAAATTATCAATAAACTTTTTTAAAACCAAACTATAAAGACGAGCAATTTCAACCTTTGACCACTCCGATGAAGATCCTATTCAAAAAAAATAAAAATTATTTAGTAAATATTAGAAAATAAATAAAAACCACAATTTCCATCAGAATTTTCTTTTCCAATTAATTTGTAATAACGAAGATAACAAGCATAACGAGGATGCATTAATTCATTTCCAATATATTCCCAACAATTTCCAACTTCTTTGTAAAGCTCTAATAATCTTCTATCATCTTCAGGTGTCCATTTTCTTTAAATAATTTATTAAATTTTTTTTTAAAATAATTTTTATATTCGATTCTATTCAGAGATGAAATTCTGTTAATTTTAATAATTTTTATTCACGAAAAGTTGATATACCCGTCAAAAAAATCAAATTTCATAATAACCTTATTAGGTAAGTATTAATGCTGATCTTGTTTAGCTTTAAAAGTGAAAATTTTTCTATTTTTGGTAAGGAATTAATACTTAGGTCGTCATAAAAAAACTAGGGTTGCCGTTCTCAAGTCGGGCAGACGGTCGAGTCATTTTCGGGCCGACTCGATAATTCGGTCCGAGTCGGGCTATTTTGGCAACCCTAAAAAGGACTAAAATCGAGACCGTTTAAAAATGGTTGTAGAAGATAAAAAACGGCTATTTGTAATTTTTTGGAGGAGTCCTCATGTAGAAATATTTTTAAATAGTACAATCGTGAACGAAAAATAAAAATAATAAAATTTACAATAATTTAAAACCAAATAATTTTCAAACCTCAAATCTTCACCATCAAAGCTAGAAACACGAAAAATATGATAACACCGACGAAATACTTGAATTGCTGTCCGATTCAATAATTTTGAACCTAAAATTTTGAAAGTTAATTAAATAAAATTAAAAATACACAGCCACGGCCTGAGAAATGTTTGATTTGTAAAATTTATCCTTTCTCGATGTTTTTCTGGAGTTTCAGTTGCTGTAGCGGCACTCATATAACTAAAAATCGAATAAATCTGAAAATAATTATTAAAAAATTTTATACATATGAGCTTCGTCTTCAGGAATTTCATGAGCTGCAGCAAATGAACGCCAATTTTCTGCTAAATAAAAAATGATAATTATTGGATAAATTTCAAAATAAAAATGATTTTAAGCAAACAATTTATTAAATTGATATTTTCAATTAGGAATTTTTAATATAGGTTTTTTGTAAAAGGACAGGACAAAATCTGCATTAAGACAATATAAAAAAATTTTTATGGAATGTTTATATATTTTAATGGTAATATTGAACCGGACAGACCCGTTTTTTTCCTACACAATTTTTCCCCTATATTTCTGAAAAATGGTCAGACATTTTCCTTTCTTTCATCCAAATATAGTAGCATTTCTAATTTTTGTAAAAGGAGGAAAATATAGAAGAAAATTTGGGAAGGTTTTGGCAAGTCCGTGTTTTGTCTGTTCCGCGTTTTAGCCAGACAAGGGAAAAAAGGAAGTCTGTCCGCTTCAATATTACCATTTTAATAATCTTAAAAAATTTCACGAAAAGTCTGTCTTTTACAAAAAAATTTTTAATTAAAAAAAGTATGAATAAAATATTTTTATTAAATAAAAAAACATACAAATTTGTTTATTTTCTGCCTTCGAAAATTGTCTTTCTTTAATCTCAATTCCTTAAAATTTAATTGAAAAAAAATAAAATTCAAAACATACCATTTGCTTTTAAACGATTAATATGTCTATCCTTTAGTTGTGTTAATGCAAAATGATGAAAGGGTATTCCATCATTAAAGATACTTCCGTCTGAAGGTAATTTTAACAATCTTGGACGTTTCGATCTTCTGCTACTTTCTTCTTCGCTTTCATTAAATTCTGGGAAGGGATCTGATCTTTTAGAACAATTTAACATTTGTGATGAATAAATTGCCCCCAACTGCTTAAGATCATCTACATTTTTAACTAAAATTTAAAAAATAATAAAAATATCAAAATTAAGTAAAAACCTGTTACTTCACGCCTTTCAACAAATTTATACGCCTCCTGAAGTTTAGTAAATTCATTTTGCAAAGAAGTCTCATCACAATCGTCTAATTTTTTCCTTTTTGAATATTTCATTTGAAATTCCTAATTAGAAAATTGGAAAAAAATTTTTAAAGTAATTTTATAATATGTATAAAAATATATTTAAATATACCTTGTAAATATTAATAAACAAAATTAAATGTTTATCCAAGAAATAAAATTAATTTATTGAAATTAAAAAATATGTAGGTGAGTAGAAAAATAAAGATATGTAGTTAATAAGATATTGATTTAAAAAGAGAATATATGGAACTTGAATTTAGAAAATAAGATTATGTATTTAGAATTAAAAAACAAAATAAGAAACAGCAAAGATGTTAAAATAAAGGAATCCTGGTACTTGTGTAGTTTATGGACCATGCCCCCTTTTCTTATAAAAAGAAGAAAAATGGGCGCGAAAATAAATAGTTTTTCCTCTGCTGAACTTATTCCCAGAGAATTTTTTGGGAATAGAGAGCCACCACCCAGAGTTAAGTACGAATCGTAGGTTATAAATGCAGAGCTGGGTACTTGTTGTCATAGGATAAGATTCCTGACAAAGCAAATTTGGACACAAAATTTTTTTCAATTTTTGAAATGTCTATCCTTTATCGTTAAATAAATGGCTGAAATAAAAAGGAAAATATTGACAAAATATCATTCTTTAAGAAAGGAAGAAAAAAAAAAGGAGTATGGTGCATAAACTACACAAGTTTTCAAAAATTCTTTAATTGTACATATGTATATAAAAATGTTGTTTAAATAATTAAAAATTAATGTAGAATTGAGTACATTAAATTAGCCAACGAACGTGTTTATTTGTTGTTTTTGTTGTTTGTTGTTTACATGTTGTAGCATTTTTTAGAATTGAAACTGGAAACTCATTTTTTAAATGCATTTTGGTTTGATTCACTTAAAAAATATTTTTAATCTTCAAAATAAATTAATAAGGAAATAAAATTGAATTGAACAGGAAGATTTATTTTTTACTACCTCGATGTAAAACAAACTTTTCCGGAGAACTTAAAATAAAAAATTGTCTTAACAGACTGGAAATATATTGAATTATTTAAAAAAGTTAAAACAATTTCTATTTAAAAGATTATGAAATTTTAAACTAAAACTTTTACCTTTTCTTTCCCATGGTAGAAGTTCCTGCAGACCCATCACTTTTATTGTTCATTTGACTAATTATATAAGACAACATTTCGTCAATTTTGTCAACTTTCTGTTCAACTTTTTTAAAGCGTTCCTGCAAAACAAAATAACCTAATCATTTTAAACAAAAAATCTCGAAAATTTTCATTTTTCTTATGACTTTTGATATTCAAAAATATTTTCAGTATCAGACCATTTAAAAATAAAGAATGGTATAAATAATAGATTAAACCTCATTTGGATCCTCTTGCTTCTGAATTGAAGTAGATGAACGACCAAATGACATTTGAAAAGTTGTACCATTTGACTTCGAATGTTGTGTAAACATGAGTTGTTCAGAATTATAATTTGCATGATTGAATCTGTTGATATTAATAGCAGCAGCACGGTGCTAAAATTAAATATAAAGTAAATAATTTTTGAATAATTTTCTTAGTTATTTTTAGGCTTTAAGGGTAAAAAATAATATTTAACCTGTATCATTTGGTCCTGCACAAATCGATCATAAGAACGTTGCGCCTCACTGTTTACCATTCTGTCGAACTAAAATTTCCCAAAATTATATTTTTTTCTAAATTAAAGAAACCTGCCAAACATCATTTTGTCTATTCTGGTTAACTTGACGTTCTAGATGATATAATCGCTCTCTCATTGCGACATTTTCATCTTTTACGACTAAATTTTCTCTTTTTAGACCCTCCAATTGAGTGAGAAATTCCTATAAATTCAAAGATTATAAATCCCGTCCAATTCATGATTAATATATTAAACAACTTTAGGTATTGATGAATAATCAGCATGATGTGTTTCTACGAAAGACTCAGCACAACGCTCTGCAGAAGGCCCTGCTCCACTCTGTCCATTTTCGTTTTTTCTTATTAAAAAAATTCTGTTAATCTTATAATTGTACGAAAATGAATGCTTATACATATTCTATTTCAAAAATAAAAGATGACGATTTATCAAAAATTAACGAAGTTTCTTAAAATTAAATATTCAAAATTTACTCTTATTTAAAGAAATCTTGTAAAGTTAAATTTAAAAAACCTGAATTTAATAGAAAAAGGTTGCTCCAAAATCTTTTGAAGATTATTTGCTCCCTCAAGGAAAGAAGGACGTTGTTGAATACGTTGAATATTTTGTCTATGTCGAAGAAGTGATTGATCCTCAGACATAGAACTGCCAGAAGTTGACAAATTTTGAACCTGATAAAAAATTTAATGAAATTCATAATTCAGATAAAATTTAAAAATCAAGGTAAAATTTAACTTTGTAACACTCCTTTTTTCGTTCATGTTTTTTCTTATAATTTGATGGGGAGACTTTTCCTTCTTCCATCATAATTGCCTTACGAAGTGATTGATCCTCAGACCTAGAACTGCCGGGAGTTGACAAATTTTGAACCTGATAAAAAAATTAAATTCATAATTCAAATAAAATTTAAAAATCAAGGTAAAATTGAACTTTGTAACACTTCTTTTTTCGTTCCCCAAGTTTTTTCCTATAATTTGATGGGGAGACTTTTCCTTCTTCCATCATAATTGCCTTACCATATTTTGTCTACAAACAATCAATATTTTTTATCCAGTTCTTTAGAAAGAAGGAAGGCGATTGTAAAGGAAGGAAAAGTACAGATTATAGGAAAAAACTAAGGGAGGAAAAAGGGAAACTGGAGACGACACTATTTCGAAATTTCTAATGTTACATACATACCGAATCAATGCTTTTAATTCTTTTTTTTATTAACAGTTTCCGAATGCAAAAAGGAATTTATTATAAAACTAATCTTCTCTGTATCAACGTATTTCGTTGAATATGTAGGGGAATTAGTGGGTTAAAAACTTATTTAAAGTTTATTTAAAACAAATAGATAGAAACGTAAGTTACGTTCAGAAGAAAGTTAAAAGGGGAATGATTTGTAGCGTGGCGTTTCCAGTCTCCACAAAAAACCATTTTTAGTACTTTAGAAAGGAAAAAGGGGAAATAAAATTCAATTTAACCAAAATCGATTTATGTAAATTATTTTGAATCAAACAAAAAATTCAGACAAAAATTCAAAAGACTAATTAAAGAAAACCTGTTGTAAAGTTTGACGTTCCTGCTTTGCCGGTGTAATAATAGACTTTGTGTACATTTAGACGCATTGGATTTTGCTCTTACAGGTCTTCTACCTCCGCAAGTACTGGGAATATCGTCGGTGAGTCGTTCATCGAAAGATGCATCAGTATCACTTTCTTCACCATCTTGTCTGATCCAAGAGTGCATTTTCCAGAAATAATAATATCAGTATAAAAGAGCTAAAAAATTATTAAATAAAATTTACGGGATCGACCCAGAAGGTCACATTACCCAAAAGGTCAAATACAAATTTTTGGCGGATAAAGGATATATGTATATTAAGACGGATTTGTGGGTATCAAGGAGGATAACGCCGGACTTGGGCGGATTAAGACGGATTTGTTGGGATTGAATAAATCCCTAAGTCAAATTAGAGTAGCACGAGGTCGAGGTTTTTTGAAAAAACCGAGACCGAGGATCACCGAGGCAGGAAAAGCCGAGATCGAGGTCGAGGGGCTAATTTTGACCCGAGGCCGAGGACCGAGGATAACCGAGGTTTTTAAAAAATTTTATAACATTTCAAAATCTAGTTAAATTTAGTAAATTTTTCAAATATTTGCTTAATACTTATCAAATTAATATTTTACATCTGATTCATACCAAGTAGGCTGCCCATAGAGCTGTCCAAGACTCCTGTCCAATATTCTAAAAATTTTCGCCTGCGGCGCTGAAAAAGGTAGAGATATGACTCCTTGGTCTTTACTTCGTATATTTGATTATTTAGTAGACTGGGTTTAGACGGATATGGGGGGGGGGGTCAAAGGAGAGTATAAGGGGACTTGAATGGATTAATTTGAATGTAAGTGGATTTAGCAGATTAAGGAGGATATCATGGATTTGTGGGGATAGAGTGTATATAGGGGATTAATAGGATTAAGGGTATTTAGTGGAAAAACACGAAAATTTAGAGATTTTGGAAGGCCATAAAGTCAGATTGGCAGTATCTGAAAGGAGTGCTCGGATCGCATTTTTCCTTACATTTTTCCTTACCTCGGAATGGGGTCAATTTTCCTTAGTATTATAGCAAAATAGAGCCAATAAATTATTCCACAAAATGGCAGGGTTAGGCCAAAAGATTCCAACACAATTGGCCAAGGGTTTAGTACCAACAAATTAAAGCCAAACAAATAGTAATAAGTTTATTTCACACAAATAAATAGTCCAACAAATAGATTAATGATAAGGCCACAAATAGGAACAGGAGCCACAGAACCAGAACAGAATAAAGCCAACAGAGAAGAGCTAATGAGAAAGCTAATGGGGGTTTGGAGGGGGATTATATAGGCCAGAAAAATAGGCGGGTATACTTAGAAAATATTTCGATCATTAAAAACATAATAGGAACGATTAAATAAAATGCACATGTTTTGAATAATACAAAAGAGTGGAAAATTAAGTTAAGTTTTAGAACAAAAGAGCTAAAAATGTAAACAGAGTTTGAATAGATGTTTACAGCAAAAATGGTTTTTTAGAAGGGTAAAAGTCCGAAAAAGGAATTTGCAATAAGTGATGATTAATTTAGAAATATAAAAATATATTTATTTTATTTTCCTCATCTTTAGTCGCTTCGCGACAAGTATTTGATGTTTGTCACAAGGCAAAATTGTATAAAAAATATTTTTTTTCTGTTTATTTTGTTGGGTGAGTGATAAAACTCGTTCTTACAAAACTCGGTCAAGACAAAACTTGGTCGGACAAAACTTGGAACGATCAAGTCGGTCTTACCAAAACTCGGTGCAATTTGTCTGCTGTTGTTTTTCCGTACCGTTAGATAGCCTGACACGAAAATAAAGAACCAAAGATAACAGCACTAGGTAATTCCAAGGCTGGTCCCCCCCTTTTTTTTCTGTTCCTCTGACCATTTTGAGATTTTTTTCTTGAAATATAATTTACAATATATTATTCGATAGAGCTGTTCGAGCTGAGTAGAATGATACTATGATCGGTTCGATTTGGAGATTCTGAGCAGAATTATGAAGCTAAATCCTCGATGGACATGCTTTTTGTGATGTTGAAAGGGATTAAAACAAATGGTCATAACTATGTTTATTTAAGTCGGATTTCGATAAATTTAGTACCGTTCTACTCAGCTTGAAGAGCTCTTTCGAACGATATATAATTTCCTTTAAAAAGTTTAAAAAATAAAAAAAAATTGAAAGGAAAAAAAGGGGGGGGGACCAGCCTTGGAATTACCCAGCACTAATCCAAAAAATCCCAAACAAAATGGACCGAGTTTTGGTAAGACAGACTTGGGCTTTCCAAGTTTGTCCGACCAAGTTTTGCCTCGAACGAGCTTTGTAAGACCGAGTTTTGCCACTCACCCAACAAAATAAGCAGAGAAAAAATATTTTTTACACAATTTTGCCTTATGACAAACATCAAATACTAAGGAAAATTGACCCCATTCCGAGGTAAGGAAAAATGCGATCCGAGCACTCCTTTCAGATACGGTCGTCAGATTTCTTCCATTTTTAGCGCCGCAGGCGAAATTTTTGAAAATTTTGGAAGGCCATGAAGCCAACAATCTTCCTTTTTCTGCGCCGCAGGCGAAAATTTTGAGAATTTTGGAAGGTAAGTCACCATATTACTTCCATTTTTTACAAAAAAAAGCAATTCTTAGGGGTGTATATTTAGCCTCGGTCCTCGACCGAGGTTCAGGGCGAGGACCGAGACGAGGTTCCGAGGCCCGAGGTCAGCAAAACCGAGGTCGAGGTTGACCTCGGCCTCGGCGAGGCCTCGACCTCGTGCTACTCTAAGTCAAATAGTAGGTTTATTAAACCATATTTATCTGTTATTAACTTAGTGGGAGACGAATGGAAGGATTTTGCACTGTGGGACTAATTTAGGGGGACAAATCCTGGGTTTTTATTCAGGGGGACGAATTGTGGGTTTTTGTTCAATGGGACAAATCTTGGGTGGGACGAATAAATTAATTTATTTTCTATCGTTAATTATTAGAGATGTGCGAGACTCTTGGTCTTGGTCTTGGAACCAAGACTTTTCTTGGTTTTTTTTCGGTCTTGGTCTTGGTCTTGGGGTGTTTGTCTTGGTCTTGTCTTGGTTTTATTTTTTGGTCTTGGTTTTTTGGCCTTTTTGGACCTAGTGCTTGGCCATCCAAAATCCTCAAAATTTTCGCCTGCGGCGCAGAAAATGGAAGAAATCTGGCTTCTTGAGCTCCAAAATTCAAAAAATTTTCGCCTGCGGCACTGAAAATGTGAATTTTTTTTGGCCTACGGCCTTCCAAAATTTTCAATATTTTTGCCTGCGGCGCAGGAAAAGGAAGATTTTTGGCTTCTTTGCTTTCATATCCTCAAAATTTTCGCCTGCGGCGCTAAATCCCACGGCTATCCCTCTTAATCTTTTGATATCACTAATATCCCGTTAATCCACCCAAACCCTCTGAAATAATAACCTATTTTATTGATTTTCCACAGAATAAATTCCCCGAAATTCTTTGAATTTCGCATAAATTTTTCGAAATTATAGATAATTGTGCTGAAGTTGACTGTGATCGTATCAAAATAACAAAAAATAAACCAAAAATTTGACCTATGGGATTTATTAATTTGGTCTTGATTTTTGGTCTTGAGTCTTGGAGTTTTGGTCTTGGTCTTGTGTCTTGGTCTTGGAAAAAATTTTGTCTTGGGTCTTGAGTCTTGAGTCTTGGAAAAATTTCGGTCTCGCACATCTCTATTAATTATTATAAATATGGATGATTGGCATTTTTGCCGCTGCGGAAGAAGCCGGTAATGTCGAGAGGAACGACTGCGCCGCTTCGCTACGGTCGCCGCGAGCGAAACGAGCAAGACCTCAGCGGAGCACGGGCATCGTGTAGCGAAGACCTTTTCATAATTGGCCCGATCTGTTGTGACCACACAAAAAAATACTGACGGAAAACTGTTTTAAACGGAAGAAAGCGAAAAAAATAAAAAACGGTAGTTGGAAAGCAGAGGCGGAAGCAAAAAATTTAATAAAGCTTTTATTCGTAAACTTAAAAATAAATGATATTACGCACATGTACTACATACATATTTCAAAAAATCTTGACTTTAAATTACAAATCAACATTAAATTTCTTCCATGCCAAACTAAATCAAAGATTAACCTCTTATACTTCTTTTTCCAAATGAACCATCACGAGTTGGACAAGGACTATTTATTTATAAAGTTAAAATACTGATAATTTCATTTTTTGTAAGATTACATTATAATATTCCGGATATACTTTATATTTTTAAACTCACCAATACTCCGCGTCTTGGCCATGCTTGCCTACTACGCCTCGGCCTCCTTCTTCACCATCAGGGCCTGGCGGACCCTTTCGAAATAAATATACTTAATATTTAAAGAAACAATTAAAATTACTTGCGATCCAGGAGTTCCTGGTGGACCTTTCGCCCCTTGTTTGCCTTGCACTCCATCTAATCCTTTTTCGCCTATTTGGCCTGGAGGTCCTTCAGGTCCAGCTGTTCCACGCACTCCTTTACGTCCTATTAATTTTTCCGCATCCTTACCAACGTCTCCAGCTTTTCCAGGCTTCCCTATTTCCCCTATTTAATTATTTACAAATAAGTCTTAAGATTATATTGAACCAAGAGCGCCTGCTGGTCCAACCTCGCCTGTCAACCCTGGAACGCCATCACGTCCAGAAATTCCTAAATTAACAAATAATCGAACATAAATTGAATATTAAAACTTCGAAATTAAAAACCTGGAATTCCATTAGGTCCCCGTGGTCCTCTTATGCCTGGATTGCCTTCTTTTCCAGGAGTTCCTTGAGGTCCAACAGGGCAGTTCTTTGAATTTATTAATTATAAACCTTAATAAAAACTGACTTACAAAGCAGCCTTTGGAGATTGCACTATTTACATCCATTGCATCATGTCCGGGAATTCCTGGTACACCACCAATTCCCCGTTCCCCTGGAGGACCTACCACGCCTGGAAATCCAGGAGGGCCAGCAGGACAATCATTTAGGGAAATACAATCTAATTCAAGACACATTATTGAAAAGAAACTGTCTAAGGAAACTTACTGCAGGAACTGCCTAGTGAAACCTTCAACGGCCCAGTGGCAACTTTTGCCGTAAATATATTGTGTGTCTGGTGTTGTTGCTGCTGTACTCCGTACCCTCCATAAATTTGTCGTCTTTGCCGATTTGATGGGGTACCAGCCCCCATAGAAAGCATACCTTCCCATATATTATCTGTCTAGATTTGGAAAAATAAAATAGAGGGGATATTTGTATATTTCAATACTTTAATATTAAATTGTTTTATTTCAATTCCCAATTCATCCCACATTGATTGTAATTGAATATTCAGGCAAATTATTCCGGCAATACACATAATAATTGTGGTTACGCTGATTGTGATTGCAAAGCATATTAGATTATCTTTCATTTAAATATAAACTCAATAGAAATTTTAGAAATAAAATATATAATTTAGATTATTAAATAAATATTTTTGAGTCTTTTAAAAACACCAAGATATTTTTATTATGTCGAATTAATAAAATATTTTATTTCTGGATTGCAATAATAATCCATTCACGTATATTTTTATCTGTCTAAAGAATCAGTTTACTCAAAAGGAACATAAAACCTGGAGTAATATTTTTAAAAGCCCGTTTATGGAAGCAATTAAAGAAGAACAATAAATATAAAAAATAATATTATACGTAATATAAAAAATTTATTTATTTTATTATTCCCAGACTATTCATATGATTATAAATCAGGGCTCTCATCGACAAAATGCCAATCAAAAGTACAAAAATCTTGATTTTAAAGTACATAGGGACAAAATTTTCAAATTTAAAGTACACTCAAAATTAAATTCGAAAATATTTATTCGTGCTCAAATCTTTTATATTTCTCTCCTAAATGAATCTTTTCTAATAATTTCTTGCTTCCACTGAGCATTTTGTGCATTTCAATGCATGACATGTCAAAATTCGCTGACACATGAAGTAAAGCCTGACAGTCTTAACCTCAAGCAAGCTACTTTCTTTCGTCCATTTTCAGCGCCGCAGGCGAAAATTTTGAGAATTTTAGAGCTCAAGAAGCCATATTTCTTCCATTTTTAGCGCCGCAGGCGAAAATTTTTAAAATTTTAGAAGGCCGTAGGCAAAAAAATTCACTTTTTCAGCAGCGCAGGCGAAAATTTTTTGAAATTTGGAGCCCAAGAAGCCAGATTTCTTCCTTTTTCAGCGCCGCAGGCGAAAATTTTGAGAATTTCGAAGGCCATAGGCCAAATAAATTACTTTTTTGCCCAATCCCTTCCCCAATTTCATTTTCAATCTAAAATGTTGATTTTAAAGTACATACTTTCAATAAAGTACAAATTCAATTTTGTAAGTACGGAGGTCGATTTTAAAGTACTGTACTTTCAAATAAAGTACGAATGAGAGCCCTGTATATTATAAATTCATAGGATCATCGAAATTTTAAAAAATTTATTAAAAATTCATTTAAAAAATGTTATGTCATTTTTAGTATTTTTCTCCTCAAGTCACTGAATAAAGAGTAATAATTATATTATTTATAATTAACATCTTTTTATCATCCGCGAATTTTACGTTTGCGAAAAATAACTCCAGTGCCTTCTCTGTCGATGCTTTTTCTGCCTCTTCTTAAGCTATTCCGGTTTGGACATGGACTGAATATTTATATAAAATTATCAAAAATGCTTAAGTACCAATATTCAGCATCAGCTCCATGTCTACCTACAGGCCCATCTTTGCCCTCTTCGCCTTCTCCACCTGGTGATCCTTGTATTCCAGCTGAACCTTGTGGTCCGGGGGGCCCTTGTTTTCCAGGTGGAGCATCTTCACCTGGGTCTAGATACAAAAATTTTTGGCATTATATAAATGCCATTATATATAATGCCATTATATACAAAAACGTACCTCCAACTGTGCCCTGCGGCCCTTGTTCTCCTGGCGGCCCTAAATATATGTAATATTGAGAATACCTTTTAAAAAAATTTATTAACTAGCCTCGAGGTCCCTTACGACCTATAGGTTTTTCGTAATCACCGCCTTTTTCTCCTGTTATTCCAGTATGTCCGTCTTCTCCTGGAGTCCCAGGCTGACCGCTTTAATTTATTTATATTATACATAATTTTTATAACAAATACCGACCTTTCGCCAGAAATTCCAGGAATCCCGTCGCGTCCAGGAATTCCTGGGCTGCCTTTAGGTCCCCGCATACCTCTTATACCTGGACGGCCTGCCTTTCCAAGAGATCCTTGGGGTCCGACAGGGCAGTACTTTTAAATTGAATTATTAATAGTATTAATCTTTTACTACTGAGTCATTTACTATATGCACATCAGGGATGGGCGATTTCGCATTTTCGCATCTTTCGCATTTTTCGCATTTTTTGGCGCGAAAAGTTTCGCATTCCGCATTTCGCTTTTTGGTCCAAATGCGAAATTTGTTTCGCTTTTTCTTAAAGTATTTTTTTTTATTTTTAAGAAATTTTTTAAAATTATAATGTCTTTAATATGGAAGTATTTCTCACTTTCTGGAAGAGTAGCGTTCTGCAAAAGTTGTAGTTTTTCAAAAAACAAAAAAAAAACTACCACTTTCGGCCTTTACTTTGTAAAGTAGTTGTGAGTGAATGGATAGTGAGTTAGGTTCCGAATTTTATCCGGTTATAGGTTCGAAAAATATTACAAAAAATGATTAAATAATTGTTTTGCTTTGGAAAATAGATTATAATAAGCATTTTTTAAATAAATAAAGCTAGATAAATTTTTTAAATTGATTGAAAAAGGAAGATTTTTGGCTTAAGGATCGATTAAAATTCTCAAAATTTTCGCCTGCGGCGCAAAAAAGGAAGATTTTTGGCTTAAGGATCTTCCAGAATTCACAAAATTTTCGCCTGCGGCGCAAAAAAGGAAGATTTTTGGCTTAAGGATCTTCCAGAATTCACAAAATTTTCGCCTGCGGCGCAAAAAGCAAGTGATAATGAGAGGAAAAACCATCATATCCGATTCGCCCAACTCCCAGACAACCCAAATCCCCTTAATCCAGCTTAATTCCCCGATATCGCCCTTAATGCACACGATAATCCACCCAAATCCCACTTAATCCATTGATACTCCTCTTAATCCTCTGATATCACTCGATATCCCCTTTATCTACCCAAATCCCCCAATGAAAAATAATTAATTGATTTTCCAGCCTGTTAGGAAAAAAAAACTTTAAAACCGCTACCTAGGACATAACACAGCCGGAGCCCGGAGCCGGAGCCAAGATTTTGAAACCCCGGATTTTGAAACCCCTCGTAATTTATAATTTTGAATATGAATAAAATTTTTTTAATTTTAAATAATTTCGCATTTTCGCATTTCGCATCTTTCGCATTTTTCGCATTTTTTGGCGCGAAAAGTTTCGCATTCCGCATTTCGCATTTTATTTTTTTAAAAAAAGTTTCGCATTTCGCATTTCGCATTTCGCTTTTTATTTTTTGATTTCGCCCATCCCTGATGCACATCTACTATACTACAATAGTTTTCTACTATAACTCAATAAATGTTTTTTTAATTTTATCTTATCACTAAACTTACAAAGCATCCTTTTAAACCAGCATTTTTGAAGTCAGGCGCGTCAAACCCTGGAATCCCAGGTTTACCCTGAGATTTTAATAGACAAATTAAGTTGATATAAATTTATTCATGTGGTGAATAGCAACCTTTATCCCAGGTTTACCAGGCTGTCCAACATCACCAGCTGGCCCTTGTGGTCCCGCTGGACATTTGTTCTCCTCTTTGCATACACACTCAGCAGAACCATGGAAGGTTGATGAACTGCCTCCAAGGCTAAGGTGCGGAGGCTGACCAATTGAATGTACGGCAATTCCTGCGGGAAACTGCAATAGAGGAGGTCCAGTCGTTACTTGTATAGGGGGTTGGAATCCTGCTGCATTATAACCACCATACAATTGGCGTCGTAAACGGTTCGATGGAGAACCTGCCCCCATTGAAATCATGCTTTCCCAAAGGATGCTAGTCTGTAAATTAATTTCTCAGAATTTCTCTTGTGATTTTTTTAAATTTCACTTCCATATTTTTTAATTTATATAAAATTATAAATAAAATGCCTCAATGTTCAATTCATTTATTTCAATATCTAATTCATTCCAGATGCTCTGAATTTCGTTGTAGATCGAGATTATTCCGTACATGCAAAGTAACAATGCCACACCCCATATTAAAATTACAGTGGATGTCAATTTATCAGTCATGTTTAATTATATTTTTAAAAATAATAACGATGGGATTGTGCAGTTTAATTTTGAATTTTATATAAGGATTATATAAGAAAGACGAACGCCTGTTCTAATAATAGTGGTGGATTTTATTCTTTGATTGATGATCAGTTCGTTAAAATCAAGATATATCTTCTCAGCCTTCTCATTTTTAGTGACCCATTTGCAAATACTTCTTGAAAGAAAGCGATTAAGCGAAAAATTTCACTAATTTTATTTTTTATCGTTATATAACAACTGGATAAAATTGTTTTTGTATAGATGGTCAAATCTGGTTTTCTTATAATATTGTAATAAGTAGTTAGCGACAAAACAAGATTAATATAAAAATTATACTTGATAAAGAATGCACACAAATAAAAAATGACTGAATTAACTCACATTTAAATATCTCTTAGGTAGATTATACTTAACTAAATGTGTCTTGAATAGAGACATAAATTTAGCTAATGTAAATAAAATTAAAGCTATTAATAATGAGCAAATTTATGTTTAAAATTATTATACTGTTTTAAATTATTATTTGAATTTTACAAAACCAAAATTAACTAAAAATTTCGTGGCGCGAACTTTGCGGACCCGAATTTTGCGGAACGAAAGTTGCGGACCCGAAGGTTGCGGACACGAAGTTTGCGGACCTGATTTTTGCGGAACCAAGATTTTAGGACCGACACTTGAGTAAAAAGAAAAAATTAAGAATTTTATTTTTCGATGATCCCGGCAGAGTTTGCCATGATCCGTACCGGATCAAGATTTTTTCTTGATTTTTCAAAATTTTTATCAATTTTTTATCTTAACATTATTTCATAATTTAAAAAATCGAGAAAATTCCTTGAAGAAATCATTTATATGGCCATCACATAAGGTCATTATGCCTGAATTTATCCTAATTAACGCCGCAGGCTAAAATTTTTGAAATTTCCGAGGTTCAGTAGACTCTTTTGTCGGTCCGCAAATTTTTGGTCCGCAAATCTCAGATCCGCAAAATTCGGGTCCGCATAGTTCGGGTCCGCATAGTTCGGGTCCGCAAATTAAAATCCGCAAATTTCGGCGCGCCAAAAATTTATTATAAACTAAAGAATGTGAACAAATAATACTTTTCCTCAATGTTAAAAAGCAAAAATAAGGATTATTTAAAAGTTATCTCTTTTAAGTATTTCCATCCGGCTGTCTATTGCAGGAAATCTATTATATTCACGAAAATTTTCTCAAAAATAATTCTCAAAAATTCTAGATTTTGTTTAGCTTTTCTTTAGACATATATTTAATTCTTGATTTAAATAATCAATCAAATTTAGTTTTTAAAAAGAATTTTTTCAAAAAAATTTTTGTTTAAAAAACAATTTTCCCCGCGGCATGGCCATCAATTTTTTATCAACTTTTTTTGATACTTTTCTCCATCAGTAAACATGATCATTAAAATATTATCTTTTGTTAGTGTTCGAAACAAAAAGCGCGAAAAAAATTAATTTGTCGTCTAGTTAGTTTAATGACCTCCATAAAAATTAACTGTTTACAATTAAACAAACATTTTAAATTCCTTTGCCAATAAAAAAAATTCGGCCTCTATGCTCAATCAAATAAATATATAAATTCAAAAAATTATAGTGGAACTTGTAAATTATTAAGAAAAGAGAAAGGAAGTTAAAACAAATATTTTTTAAAAATGATTGAAAAGAGGAGGAAGAGAATAAAATATAAAACAAGGACGGCTGGTTAATAACTCATTGCGCGACTTTCAACTTTTTTTAAACATTTTTTCGTAACCTAATAAAATAGCGCTGTTCGAAAAAGAACAATGGTAAACGAACGACAAAAATTTGCGTAAAAAAGGAAGAGCAACTGGCCATGAAATATGGGACGGGCTTTAAAATTAATGGTTTTTGAGTTCTTGGTTTACACAAAACAAGTATGTAAAGACGAGGAAAAAGAAAATTTTGAACATAATTTTAGACAGCAGTTAAGTCTGAAAGTTTTCAAATAAAATTTTATTGAAAAGTAAAGTGCGGGAACGAACGTTTTTTCCTTTAAGAACAATTACCTCCACGTTTACGCGCAACCCATTAAGCTTTTTCCTCAAAATACTTGTGCAATTAAGTTCATAGTATTATACATTTTAGCACAATTATTTTTTATATTTTCCTTCCCTAATTTTTAGCTGGTTGTAAAATGAATATTCCGGATAGAAGGATAGGAAGAGAAAATCATGAAATTGATGATGATCCAAAACAGACGTTATTAAGGGAGACAGAACAGTTAAGGCGAAGTGCTTTTATTAGTGTAATGATTGGAACAGCAGCAGTTTTAACAGCTGGTATGTCAGATATAAATCAGATATTTGTAAAATTTAAATTCTTTTATTCAGTAATAGCAGTGCCTATGCTTTATAATTATATGCAGTATGTTCAGTCTTCATTGCAAGAAGAACTTGCCTTTTGTCATCATCGCACTGAAGGCTTATGGGAGGAATATGTTAAAGTATCTATATACTCAGCTATCTTTAAAAATCAAAAATTCATTTACTCAGGTTCAACATATAACTGGAACACCTGCTCGTATTAAACGTCAAGGCGGTTATCATGTTGCTCCACCACAGTATTCAAGTGGAGTAAGTAAGGGTTATTCGACTGGACCATCTAGTGGTTATGCAAGGAGCGGTGGTGGTGGTGGTGGGGGATATTCTAGTGGAGGAGGTCATGGTGGTGGAGGAGGTGGAGGCTATTCTCGAGGAGGAGGAGGTGGTGGTGGTGGTGGAGGATATGCACAGAAATGTGATTAGGCCGAAAATTTATAAATATATTTATGGTTTTACAGCCGGCGGAGGATATTCTTCTGGTGGTAGTGGAGGTGGCGGTGGCGGAGGATATGCACAAAAAAATACTGGTGTTAGTTATCGAACACAAACTGCAACTGTAACAAGGCAGCAATGTGCTTGTACAACTGGTCCACCAGGCCCTCCTGGACAACCAGGAGGTAATGGGTCGCCAGGACAAGACGGAACGGCTGGCGAAAATGGGTCTCCCGGAGAAGATGGAGTTGCACCTCCAGCACCGAAAACGAGCAGTTGTCAGACATGCCCGCCTGGACCACCCGGACCACCAGGTCCTCCCGGCACAAAAGGGCCATCAGGCAATAGAGGAACAGATGGATCATCACCTGATAGTGGATAGTAAGTTAAAAGAAATTGGCTAATGAAGCTAAGCTTAAACATATTTTAAATAATTACAGTGGTGGTGCAGCTCAACCGGGTCCACCAGGACCTCCAGGTTAGCTACCCACATTTAGTTAAAGTTAAAATCATCGTTTTAAGGTCCCCCAGGTCCTCCAGGAGGAAATGGACAAGCTGGTCCTCCAGGCCCACCCGGACAGATCCAAGAGAGTAAGTTTAACCTACATTCATTTTAAATTTACACAACTTTTAGGCAATCTTCCCGGACCTCCTGGTCCTCCAGGACCGGTGGGACCACCAGGCTCTGCTGGTCAGCCAGGACAAGCTGTAAGTTTTATTATACTTGCATTAAATCTAACAAAATACTATAACAAACAGTCAAATCCTCAATCTGGACCACCCGGTCCCCCCGGAGATGCTGGTAAGCTTTCCTAATTATATTCAAGTATTAATTCGAAAAACAATTTTTAGGACCGCCAGGACCACCAGGAAACCCTGGAGCCCCTGGCCCGAAAGGCAATGATGGACCTTCTGGCAAGGGAGGCATTTGTGATCACTGCCCTCCTCCTCGAACACAGCCAGGCTACTAAAATGAAATCTCGGGTCATCTTTGTATTGTAGCAATTATTCCTCATTTAAATTAACTTTCTCAACTTGTATTATATATTCTTATTTTAAAAATATTTTTATTTATACATTCACATCAGAATGTTTAATTTTTGCCATGATAAAAATAAAAATTTATCAAAATACATACATAAGTAAAGCTTTCTTTTTTCAATAAAACTTTAAACAAAATAACTAGAATAAAAAATTAGGAAGAAAAAATTTATACATTTGTAATTGAAGAGGGAGAGAGGTTGAGTCTCTTTCTAATAAAGGAAAATTAATCCCAATGATATTATGATCAGATTAATCCCAGCATAAACAATAACTCGCACATCGCGACGTTTTGATCCATTTTATCCATGTCGGTATTTTGTCTTTTTATGGTCGTGACGATCTTTTATTGAATTTTACCCATAACGACCTTTTGAGAAAAGAACTTTTCTATGTTTGCCTTGCTGTTATATTTTTTATATTTGTCTCTAATTTATTCACAAAATTTATTTAAATGTCTTTTTACATTTTTTCAAAATACATATTTTCTTAATAAATATTTCCAATTTTCTTAATTTTTTATTAAAAAATTTTGGACTTTTTTTTTAATTTTTTATTCAGATTTTTGTTATTGTCTACTCAAACTTTTCTCTTTTTTTCAGGAAATGGACATTCATAAATTAGACAATCGTGTTAAAAATGAAATTATTATTTTAGAAAAGCAATTACATCCGTAAATTAATTATTTAATTATTTTTTTAAAATTTATTTTTTAAGGGAATGTGGGGATACTTTTGTTAAAAAACTTAATGAATTAGCTCCTCCAATTTCTCATTTACGAATTTTTGTTGGTGCTTGGGTAAAAAATATTTTTTTAATTAATTTTTTGAATTAATTTATAGCGGCCGTTAAGACGTTACAATTGCGTGGTTGACAGATGTGGACAAGAGGTTTGGGGAAATTATTTTAAAAAATATTTTTATTTAAGAAAACTTAAGGGTATTTTTGGGATAAAATTATTCGAAATAATTTTTGTCAGTTTTCCTTACTTTTACCTAAACATTTTTCCCAAATTTGATTTTTACCGAGAGGGAAAAATAGGAAATAAATTTTCAAAATTAATCTTTCAAAAAAATTTTTTTTTAATTATCAGACTAACTTTTTAATGAAGTAGACTTGCTATCGGGGGAAAATCTCGTTAAAACACCCTCCCGGCGATCGAATTCTGCAGTCATGCTAGTCTTTAAATTATCTAAATTCTAGGTTCACCCGCATATTTTTTAAATAATTGAAATTATTTTTAAATCTAATAATTTTCTTTTTTTAACAGGTTAATTACATTGTTGATTATTTCAAAGACGAAGAATCTTTGTTGAAAGTTCAACAAAAAGGGTGGAAATTGTCTAATTTTGTTGATCGAATGTGGATTAGATATTTTCGATTTAGACGAAATTTTTTGGATAGAGGGTTTTTAGATTGGTGATTTTTTGTTTTATTTTATTTTTGTTTAGATTTGTCTCTAATTAAAATTTAAATTTTTTTTGTGAATTATTTGTAATTTAATTTAGACGTAGGTGTTCTTGAGATTTTAATTAAGGTTTCTATATTAATCCCAAAAAACGGCTTTCCAAATTCAAGTTCTGCTTTACCAGATTTTTTTTTCTTTAATTTTAGCCACAAGCTAACTTGCTCAATATTTTAGTTTCAAATAATTTCACAATTTTCCCTTTTATTAAAAATATCTTCCTTTAGCTCATCCCTCAGAATTTTGGTTATTTTTTATAAAATTTCCTCGTTCCTAATTTAGGAATTTTTCGTTACTTAATTTTTTGGTTTTAAAATTATCCCTTCACTAATTCTTCTAATGAACAAAGTTGAAATTGACTATTTAATTTTTCATTTGCCTTTTTTATTAAGCTAGTAGTTATTTTAAACCTTTTTTTAATTCCTCTATATTCCCATAGCAACAAAATATATTGACTTTAAAATAATTTTTAAATTAAAAGAATTTAATTTTTGTTATTTTTGAAGAAAAATTATTTCCAAAATAAAAAAATAATTTAATGGAAAAATCTTGTGAAGTTTGTGGTGATGTCCCATTTGGAAAACATTATGGGGTAACTGCTTGTAATGGTAGAAAAAATATTTTTATTATTAAATGATTTTGATTTTTAAATTTTAGGTTGTAAAGGTGAGGGGAGATAATATTTTAATTAAATTTTGAAAAATCTTTTCGTTAAAAGGCTTTTTTCGTCGTTCAATTTGTAATAGGCGAAGTTATATATGTCGTTATGGATCAACATGCCCTATTGTTAAAGGTGTTTTTTAATTTTATAAAGAATTAATTTTTGGAACCGGAAGCATCAAAAATTGGAATTATTCGGATTCAAAAACTCGGAAACATTCGATTCTTTGGAGCTGGGAGATATGGTCCCATTCCTTTTTTCGTTTTCCAGTTAGCTATAACTCCTTTAACTCTAATTTAGAACAAAGAAATGCTTGCCGCGCTTGTAGATTAAAAAAATGTTTCGAAGCAGGAATGAATCCAGAGGGTAATTATTAAAATAATTATATACTGAAAGATTAAAAAATTTTGGAAAAATGGGAAAAACTAGCATTTCACTTTAGGTCACAAAAATATGTATGAAAACTTTCCTTATCTTTTTTCAAAAATATGACAACTCTCCTTATCTTTTTTCAAGATATGTGAGTTTAGGACAGGGATTAATTTCCAGGAAAAAATATTTGAACTATAATTTTTAATTTTTGAAGCAGTAAAATATGAAAAGGATATTGAGGAAAATGATTTGAGAAAAAAAGCAAAACAAGAAAAAACAACTCAGGCAAACTTGTTAATTAATTTTTTAAAAATTTATTTTTAATTAAATAGACAGAATTTGAGGAAAGTAATTTTGCAGAGGAATTACCTTCACCTTTACCTAATAAAAATAATGTGGTAGACGATGAAGAAATAACTATTAAACTTGTATTAATTGAAAAACAGGTAATGGAAAGGAGGGGATTTTCTGGTAAAAAGTCACCAAAATTTCACTTACTCTCCCTCTTGGATCACTCTGTATATAGCAATCCTTTTTAAATAGGTTTGGGATTTGGTAGACACAAGTTGTTCACTTATGAAACCAAAAATAACTACAAACTCCGGAGTTCATTCCTCCAATAATCAAATACAAAAAGATATTCCTTTTGAAGAAGCATTTAAAAATCCAACATTAATATGTGGACGTTACCCGGTTGGTAATTAATTTAATTAAAATTTTGACAGAAAATTTATTTATTTTTCGATGAAGCTAATGTTTAACCGAGCTGATCAACCTCTAACACCTTTTCTTTATATTGATGGGTGGAAACGACATTTTACTTATTTCAGTGATTGGGTACATCAATTAGAGCCATTCCAAAGAATGTCTTTTAATGATCAAGTAGGGAGGGGTTTTAATTAATAAAAAGTTTATTTGAAGTTGGTTATTACATTTATGGGGCTTTAGTAGTTTGAAAACTGATAATTCACGTTTTGAAAACTGATAATTCATTCGACGCAAAGGGATTGGGGTTTTGGTTTGAGTCCGGAAGTTTTAACATGATTTAAAATGAGTTGTCTTATCACAAGGAAACTGAAATTTTTTTATTCATGGGGAACCCCAAATATACAAATAATATTTCATTCTAACAATTTAAAGATACTTCTAGCCAAACAAAGAATTATTCACGTTGGGTGGTTAGTTCATGCCTATAATTCACAATTAAAAGGAGCCGGAGCAATATGTTTTGCTAATGGGGCTTTTTATCATCCTAATACAGATAATTCATTAGACGAGTCAACAAAAAATGAAGATGACCAACATTCTAAGTAATTGAAAAACAAAAGAAAATAAAATTTAAATTTTTAATTAGAATTGTTAATTTTTTTGGTCAACAACTATCAATTCTTGTTCATTCTTTATTTGAGCCACTCCGTCAATTAAATTTGGATTTTGCTGAATATGTTTTATTGAAAGCTATTCTTTTATTTCGTGAAGAAGTAAAATAAATAAATTTAAATATAGCCAAAATTTAAATACAGGTTGGATTAAGTCCACAAGCACTTGAACAAGTTAAAAATGCTCGAAGTTTATATTTGCGTGCTCTATTTAAGCAAGTTTTTTAGATTTTCTATTTGGATAAAATTGGGGGTTTTAAGATTAATTTACAAATTCCTTCAGTATTGAGCAAATTGTTAGTCCCGTTAGTTACCCTTCTAATGTAAGGAGGAATTAAAATAATAGTTACCCAGGTTAAATTATTTGTGTATTCGGTAAATAAAAATTATTTGAAAAATGATTTAATGGTAATATTTAAAAAATTTGGGAGATTATATCCCAACTAGAGAAAACTCAAAAAATTTTTTTGAGCAAACAATCTACAAATCGATTTTAAAGATATATTCGTGACAAGAAAATTGATCATACAAATGAAGAAACTGGAACAAAAGGATTGGTAAATAATGCATTCGAGAGAATGGCCTCTATTTTAGCTATGTCCTTAATTATTTCAACTTTAAAATCAGAGGTTAATGAAAGAGTTCAGATAAGCACAATATTTAATCTTATTGAATTTGATTCCCTTATGAAGGATGTACATTCTTCAATTCTTCATTAATTTTTAAGAGAAAAAAAGGTTAAAAATAACGTTGAAATTATAATGTCCATTGAAAGAAAATATTTTTTCTTCCAAAATTTCAATTAAATTTATTTACATCTCCATTTGTCTGACTGACTCATCCATATCATTTACTAACATTTTTGACAATAAATCTTCATCTGGGGATTGTGTACTGGTTGTAATATTTAAAATACTATTTTCTATTGAATCTAAAATTGAATAAAAATAGTACATATGTCAATTCATTTAAAATTTACCATTAGAATCAAACACAGCAAATGGAGAAACGTGTTTTGGAATATTAGTATTCTCATTTTCATCTTTAGTTGTATCACTAAATGGATTACGTTTCTCTCTCTAAATTAACAAAAATTTATTTAGAAGATCAATTATCAGAAAATTTCAACCTTAATCAAGCCGCTACCTATTTTATTTCCAAACTAACCAAAATCTATCCCATTTTCATTTAGTAAAAATTCTCATATTTAGGGTTGTCGTTTCCTGGAAATTCGGATATCCGAAACCGAATCGAAGAACCGAACCGAAAAATCCTCGGTCCTTCTTCGTTTCGGTTCGGTCCAGAACCGACAACCCCTACTCATATTTCTAATGTCCCAGAAAACAATTAAATTCTAAACGAACCGGTAATGCTTGTATCATAGCCACAATAAAATAAATAAATATAAACAATCTTTGTATATACATAATGTTAAGCTTTATATTTTTATAATAATTTTAGGTATTTTTGTTCGTTTATCTTTATAATCTTTATATTTTATGTTTATCTTTTAAAAAATTAACTCTTAGTCATTAACCCACTTAAACAGTCAAATATTTGTTTGCATTTCATTTCACTCTTTTTCAAGTTTATTTTAAAAAAATACTCTAAATTTTAAATCAAAATCCTTAGTAAATATTTTAGTTCAACAACCACAGATTCTTTGTTTTTTGTTTCCGGCCTGTGAATTTTGTGATGAGAAATACCTTCGATTAGTTACAAGAAAGTTTGGAATTTTTCAAAAAAGCAAATGATTGGCTCGGAGTTTTCATTTTTTTGTTTTTTATCAATTAGACTAGAAGGAAAGATCGCCGTCCTTATAATAAAAGTAATTCCTTAAGCTTCAATGTTCGAACAATCTTTTTTGTCAAGTGAATAGTCAATAATCTTTTAAATTTAAAATCCTTTGATTTTTCAAAAACAAATTCAACATTTATAATTAAAAATATTAAATTAAAATAATAAATTAGGTATAATAAATGATCAAATAATTCGAAATAATAAATAAAAATACAATGTGAAAATAATAAATAGGTAATATGTATGTATAGAAATGGAAATTATCAAATTACTAATATTAAGGAAAGAGTTGACTTGTAGACAAAAACGGTTGTTAATATTTAATGCCGGGAATGGTGATCTAGACACATTTAAGTTTTAAGCTTAAAGAGAGAAGGGGATTTTCTTCTCTTTCCCTTGTCTACAAATCTAAGAAAAAACAAATATTTCTTCAAAATATTTTACTCATATTTAACCAATCTCTTTGTTCTAGGCACATTACAAATCTGACACTTCTCGTTCCGATCAGCACATTTTACACAAAAAAGAAAGTGAGCACAGGGTAAAAAAATTACAGAACGCTGAAAATTAAAAAAATAAAATTTTTTAATTTCCTTTATTAATTTTACTTGCGAAGAATTACAACCAAAACATGACCGAACAGCGTTTAAACGAACCAATTCACGATCTTTTAGTGCTACTTGCCTTTTCTATTTTTTAATTTTTTCTAATTTCAAAAAATTTTTCTTACAAGTTTTTCATTCTCAGAACGTAATTCTCGTATTTCAGCTTCACATCTCTCTTCCTAAAAAAATAAAATATTAACAAAAAAGCATTAAAAAGATATTATTTGGGTGAACCAAGCTTAAGGATTTTAAAAATAAAATTGGATTTCGGGATTAAGATTGTTGGGCTTAAGGCCGGATGCAAATTGAGTAAAATTACGAACACGGATAACGGTAACAGACTTTTCCAAAATAAAATGCGAGTTTCTTAAAAGCTTGATAGATTGCATACAGCCTTGTCGGTGTGGGACAAAAAAATAAATTAAAATTACTGATAAATAAAAAATTATAAACCTACAGAAGTTATGCTGCATTTATTTGAATTATTAAATTTTGAATTACGATGAAAATTATATTCATTTTTCCGGTGCTGATTAAAGTCAATATCGATTACTGAATCAAACATATGCTCATTTTTGTCAATATTGTTGGGATATTCTGGTGAAATAAAATTCTTTGCTGTAAAAATAAAAAATTTATAGTTATGAATTTAAGAATGTTTCTTATTTAGTTCAAGATTCACAACTAGCTGGGATATGGGATATGCTTTAAAACAATAAAAAATAAAAACCAAAATGAAAGAAAAAAGGTTTTACAAAAATGGCAAATCGAGTTGCTTCGCCTTGTTTTTTTTCAAATTTTTCAGAAACATTTTTTGACCTTAATTTACACCAAAAATTCCTATCAGACTCATTTTTAAATTTAAAAAAATACCTGGATGTTTTGATGATTGGACTGAAAAAGCAGAAACAGAAATATCATTATTTTCAGCATTTTTTGTTAATAACGGTGGAGAATATGGAGATAACGAATTTTGAATATTTCTTTGTTTTTGAAAATTTGTTGTAGTATTAATTATTTTTTGATTAAATTTAGGGAATGTTTTGAAATTATTTGTTGGATTTTGTTGAGAAAAAGCAGGAGGGGGTCTATTACTTATAACAATTGTTTCGCCAAACTGTGAAAATATTAAAATTGGGTTAGAGATTTTTCATAATTTTTTTAATTTTTAAACATTAAAAGTAGAGTTGCCGTTTTCGAGTCGGGCCGACGGTCTAGGCAATTTTTTTCGGGTTTGTTTTTATCGAGTCGGGCTGATTTTTTTATCATATTGGTGGGTGTCCCAAAATTATTTACTATTTACTTAATTATAATTAACTTACAGAGCTAACTGAATTCGATTTTCTTTTAATTTTTGCAGTCATTATTTCCAATTCTTTTTCAGCTTTAATAATAGAATCATTTGTTCCACGCAAAATAATAGTCCTCATTCCGACTTGTTTTGAATCTCTATAAAGATATTCGACTATACCAGAAGTCTTCTAAAAAAGGGAAAAATATATTCAGGAATTAAATCAAATGTCCAAAAAGGTACTCCTTACGTTTACTGGTCTCTAAAAAATGGGAATTCGACAAACACATGTTCGATTTGTCGAATTCGGGTTCGAAATAAACAAATTCTAAGCTCATATTCGGACTCAGCACACTCGTTTACCTACTGGCAGACCTCAAAATTAGCGAAAAAGCACTTTTTCCACATTTTTCTAGAGACCAGTAAAAGTAAGGATTACCCAAAAAAATCTCTAAAAATTTAAGAAAACAATTAAAATAAAAAAATTAAAAAAAAGAGATATTTAAATAAACCTGCATTTTAGCCATATCCTCCTCACTTTGAGTGGTCAATATTCTAGGAATTAAAATTTCCTTACAAACAAATTTTTGTTCATCGTCAAGAGTCCCGAGAAATTTCTGTCCAATATTTAAAGCCTTAAAAATAAAAAATTTTTTATATTATTTCTAAAATTTTATTGTTTAGATTCTCTCGTTTTCAATAGAAAACAAAAAAATGATGCATTAAGAAATATTAAATCTTTAAAAAAATTTTTTTATAAAATCTTATAAAGAATAACAAATTAAACGAAAGAAAAATCAGGAAATAAATAATAAGATGAACAAGGAAGAAAATAAAATACTTCCCTATTTACGACTTTTTTTGGGAAAAAATAACTTTTGGCCCTATCCCAAAAGAAGGGCCGAATCGTTTTTTTCATTACTTGCAAGGAAAAAAAGAGAAAAATGGAAACGGACGGACATGGACGGACAAAACACGGAGTGTCTGTCTGTGTCCATATTTCCTTTCCTTGCAGGAATGAAAAAAAACGATTCCTCCCTTCTTTTGGAAAAGAGTCTGATTTTTCATAAGTTCGTTTAATTCAAATAAATTTTTAAAAATTATTTTTACAAAGAAATTTTTAATTAAAAAATTAATTTTCAAATTTACCTCGCATTTTTTAAGAATATATTCTTCATCTATATATTTCCTAACTTTAACAACCTTCTCTTCAGAATCCCCCAAAATTTGTAAAGTCCTTCCCTTTGGATAATCCAACCAATTATCTCCAAGTAAACGCATTTTAACTCCAAATTCTGTCTAAAAATTATTTTTAAAAATTTAAATAAAATAAATAAACCTGTAATTTTTTAATATTTAACCCTTTATTTCCAATTAAAGTTGATTGGACAGCTGAAGGAATAACTATAGAAGTTTTAAATAAAGATTTGTTTAAAGAAGGGTCGTCAATTTTATTTTTATTATTTAATGATTTTTCGATATGATTTAATTGTTTATTACAAAGCATTTTTAATATTTACTAAAAAATAAAATAAAAAATAAGAAATAAAAAAAGTTTTGAAAAATTTAATGGAAAAATGTTTTTAGATATGGATAGAACGGGTACAGCCCAAAACGGCGCGCGGCCATAAAGTCGCAAAGTTATAACTTGCAGGAAATTGTATGACCGTTTTCAATTTTGGTATCAAGCTCTTTAGTTCGACGAGCGGAATCGTATAATACTAAATTTGTTGAGATTAGGAAATTTTGAAGCAGGTTATGGCTTTGCGTCTTTGCGGCCGTGCGCCGTTTTGGACGTGTCCCGGATAGGACAAATTGAATATAACGGAAAAAATTTTTGACCATTTTTGCAAAATATCAAAACAATTTTACCATTTCGACAAAAACAGACAAAATATCCAAAATTAGCGTTTTGCCTAAATTCAAATTGTTTCATAACTAGGTACCGGAAAAATTATTTTACTGAATTCCCACAAATCAAAAAATGTTTATGGATCGAATTCCGCAGAATCCCACTCCGTTTATATGTACAATTAAAAGACTTTTGTTACCAACATTTATACATATAAACTTTAACAGCTTTACATATTTATGTTAATTTTAATTCCTTTAGAATATTTTTATATTCTATTTCCTTTTCATTAATAACTTTTTTCAATATTTCATTTATTTTATCTTCTTCTTCAAA